TATATCTCAATAGTTTTATCTTTTCTTCGATGTCTTGATATCGGTCACGTGCTTTTGGTTAATAGATTCGCCTTTTTCTTTGTTTTTATCCACTCTTAAGCTTACGTAAACAATTTGCAGCAATTTGGATTGCGCAGATATATAGCAAGACTATATAGCAAGAATCGTTCTCTTTATCATATACCGCGACTCTTGCAGACAGACAGACGACGGTAAGCGCGGTGCTTTTTCCTTTGTTTTATTTTTTTTGTTTCCCTTCTGATAAGCTTCTTTAAACAATGCGTCCATGGTCTAGACCAAATAATATAATATACCGAAAAAATTTTGATATAAAAAACTTTTATTTAAGCCTCATGAGAAGGAATTTTAATCAGGTTGTTAAACAAAAGTGGCAAACTACTAAGTAAACAACATTTCGATTTGTGAATGGCGTTTCGAGGTGTAATTAGTTCTTACAGAATGTCTTTATGGTTGTGCAGTTTGCTATTTAAAGATGATCTTAGGGGTTATCTGAATTTGAATCTGATAACCAGGGTGATTAAAATGAATAATTTAAGTCATCATTACTCAAATGATTAATATACTTAAATCAAAGATAATAGAAAATTATTTCGTAAAATTTTACGGCCATGTTTCCGGCTAGAGATTGTATGGGAATTTGAAAAACAAACTTCTTCAGTGGGTTCAGGTCCAGCTAGCCATGGCAACAAGTAGTCAAATCTTTTGGCCAAGTTATTTTTCTTTTAGCCAGCTTCAAAAATGTTTCCTTCTATTCGTGTTGTATAAGGTTCAAGTGCTAATTTGCCTCGTAAATGATTTAAAAGCGATTAAACGTGTGTACGACTGGTCAAAGATAATGTCTATATAACAGTATAACCGTATAAACCGTATAACAGTATAACGGAATGAAAACAAACAAAAATTGCGATTACGATTAATAAAGAGTCGTTCGAACTTAACCTATAATCGATGTGAACACATAATCAAGTGATTGGCATATCAGGCAATCGCCCATCTAACCCCAATATTTCCCCCCCTTTTTAATGATCACAATCATGATCATGATCGATTTTGTTTTTCGCTTAAATGCACCTTTCAATTAAGCTTTACGAGTGCTCTAAATTTTCTTCCAAAGGGGCGGGCAGGCTACTACTAACAAACTACTTGAGATTTCGGTTTTTTTTTTTGGGGTGTCAATGTCGGGATCCGACGTGTGACCAAGTGGCTAAAAAAAATATCTTATCTATCTTGTTTCCATGGGATATATATATTGGCACAACCATGATTCAGGGCAATTATAATCATTTGATTGGGAAATGATATGTTCAGGATTTTTAGAAGGTCATGGAAAGGAATGGGTCAGCTTTTGCTTCGAAATATTAGGGAATTCCCATGCTGTGAGACATTTTCTTTGGTATTTTCTATATATTTCTGATTGATTTTATTTTAGTTTTTTGCTCTCTCGTCATAAGCACATAGAAAAGGCACATTTTCCGTGCCAAACACTCGATTTGCTTTGCAAATGGCGCGTTTCTAGTGTTTTGTTTTTTGTTTTTTTGTCTCAACAAATGTTGGGTGTGGGGATTGACTGAAGGAGGCCATCATGGGTTGACTGATAAATATCTGGTGGAATAAGATGGATGGACATAGGGTACTATAAAAGAGATTACTCCAAACGAGTTAATAAATTAATATTTTTGTGTAAACGGATTAAAATGGAAAGTTATAGTTAAAAATAAAAGGGAATGCTTTTTAAAATTAAAGGAAATAATATGCGACTATGTTTTTTTTTGTTTTCTACAGTCATATATTGCAATCAAATATTCAAATATTTAAGTAATAAACATCTATCTATCTTTTTATGCTATCTTTTTAGCTATCAAAAGTATAAGAACCACCCTCTCAATCTTGTCACAACGCATTTGGCTTCAATGACCGAGCCATTGGCCCTCAATATGTGCTCACATCCTAACAACAACAACATCATCAACATCATCATCGTCATCGACATCATATCCCACCCATCTGTTCCGTTGATTACTTTCCGAGTTGCCCAGATGATATAAGCACCTCTAATGCTCGGTCATATCCATTGTCTCCTCCTGACACTGGGTACGCCTAACCATTGGATGGATACCCAAGACTGCTGTCAATTTTCGAGATCTTCGCTTGGCCAAACACAAAACAGCAAAATTAGCATTTATAATTGCAGGCAGTCTCGACTCATTTACTTTTGGGTTATCATTGCAAATATATGGAAAGTTTACTATAGGTAATTTTAGGACTATTATGTAATTGTCATGATCTGATTTCGTGACATTGGAACTACTTCACACTTCATGATGACTCATGACAGAGATAGTGGGAACCTCGTGATGCAATCATTTTGTGATTTAATCTTATTGTTAAATAACCTTTTTTTTTTTATTACTTTCAGTTGAGTTTTCTCTGGAAATAAGTGTAAGTATAAGTGGGGAGTGTAAGTGTTTTTTTTTAATAATTTTTTTTATCATTTTATAAAGAAAATTGAAAATTACTAATAATATTTTATTTACTTAGGCTGCGTTCTCTTGGAAGAAGAGATCTTTGGAATTTATAATAAAAAAAAAGAATCTTAAAACAAAGATGGATGAATGCTACTTGATGTCGGGATAAGTTATGGTAAATCTGCAAAAAACTCTACTTGATGTCAGGATGGCTTTTTTCTTTTGGAAAAATCCCACTAACTTCGCAAAACTTTGTGATACCTTAAAAATTTAAAAAAGTTTATTTTTTTGTCCCTTAAAAGAAAAGCTTACGAAGTATCGGTGCGTTTTTTTCATCTTGCTAAAGAAAGTGAACATTACTGACAATATCTCTTTCGTTCAGGTTCGATGCTGATGAGAGAAGAAATATATTGGATCCTAAAGGAAATGGGAATCCTATTTAAGATTACACAAAATATGCTTATGTCGTCATGGCTTAATCGTCTTCGCTATTGATCCTGATCAAGAATATATATACTTTATAGGGTTGGAAACGCTTGCATCTACCTGTTACATACTTTTCAACGAATCTAGTATATCCTTTTATTCTACGAGTAACGGGTATAATTATATCTCAAAAAGTTGGTCAATAGATTCAATAATTTTATTGTCCAGTCAATGTATTTTCCTTAAAAAGACCTGCGTAAGAAGTGTCTTTTATGTATCTTTTCATATTGCAACAAATTGAATATTACTAATAATTTCCTTTTTTTAGGTTAAGATGGAATAAAAGAAGAACTATAATAATACCAGGACACCAAATATTTTTATAACGAAGACGAGTATAGCTATTTTATGTTATGTTGGAAAATCCTTATCCTTTTATGATAAATATTAAATCAAAAAAAATCTGTTCTTTATTTTGCGGGACACAGAATTTGTTCCTTTGAATTAGAACAGCGTAAGAAGTGTGTTTACTGTATCTTTCAAATATTTTAAAACAAAAAGTGAACATTACTTACAATATCTTCCTTACTCAGGTCTCGCAGTTGAATTTAAAGCAGAAATCTTTTGGATCTTTAAAGAAATTTAAGCAGCAAAACAGGACATCAAAACAGTGATGATCATCACACATTCATTATATTTCCAACAAAGACAAACATCGCTCCTATATATGTCAAGGTAAGTGCTTTCTTTGTTTAAATTCTAAGAAAAACGATTTAAAATATTCTGAGATACAATTTATAGCTGAAAAAATTTGCCAATAGATGCTTTAGTTTGCATCTTGAAAAAAGTAACAACAAATAGAAACAATGTTGTATGTGTAGTCAGTCAGTCATATAAGGAGTAAGAAATCGAAAAAGAAAACCTCTCTTGAGACGCATTTTGGAGATCACGCGGTTGTTGCGTGACCGCCAGATGCCATCTGAAAACCCGCAGAGAACACTTATTTGGCCACGATCAGGGTCTCCTTATGCTCCACTCCCCAGTTATTGTTCTGTATTTTTCCATTCAAAAGCAGATGTTTGCTGGCTAACTTTATTAAGAAGTATTAAGAAGTTAGTAGTTGCCAGATTTAAAAACAGATTTTAAACACAGTTTTAAAAACAAATACAGACAGGGGAAAATGTGGTTTTTAAAAATTAAAGTTGAAGAAGAAAAATAGCTTCTGCTTAAAAACCAACTAACTAAACAAATTTAATAAGATATTTTTTTAATTTTCATTTAACAAAACCAAAGCTAGGTTGAAATTTAAAACCAAATTATGAAGCTTTCGAATATTAAATTTATATGATGATTTGTTAACTAATAATTTTATAATTACAACTCTAAAACCTTGATTTTAGTCTCTGACTAATTGATTTGTAACCAAAAAAGGGTTGCATAATCACGCAAATAAAGCTGATAACCTGATAAGCTGATAAGCACGTATACATATGTATATATATTTAATTCACTTTATTGACTAGTTACTAGTTAAAATATTTAAATGGCTGGAAAGATAATAGCCTGGTTATTGAATGAAATGCAAAATTTATGCGTTGATTTAAAGGGCGTTTGATTTTTATAAACAACCCGCCGCCCTGGCAATAATCTTCTGTTTTTGTTCAAACACGTCCATTAGGGTATTCATTATTAATGAAATTGGTCTAAATGCCGGCCCACAAATATATGCCATTACAGTTGGTCATAAATTGGGGGAATGTGTGTGTTAGCAAACATGTGAAAATGTGGCGAATATAGAAGCATATTGAATTTCGTCATAATTCATTTGAATCTTATCGTCCATATAAAAACAAGTTTACCACGAGCCATATAATAACTACTATGAAATGACGTTTGGGGCCTTTGTAGCACTAACCTATCCTAAGTACAAATGTGGAAAGTGAGGAGAAAATTATTGGGTTACCCAATAATGGTTGGTAACCTTTTTAAATTTTCAACTTTATTTGTTATAGGATATGTGAGTGGGGGTGTGTGTTGTTTGGAATATTTGTAAATCTAACATTTAATGAGTTGAGAAATCGAACTTACGTTGACCAAACTAACGCCAAAACAAGCCACCCAACCCCAGCCGCCGTCGGGCGCCACTTTTCTGGGCTGTTTGGTTGCCATTTCTTCTGTTTGTTGTTGTTATTGTTTTGGATTCTCCTCGGTTGTCTGCTTTTTTCCTGGATTTTGCTTTGTTTTTGTTTTAGTTTTATTTTAGGTGTCTCTCTCTATATATATATCTATGTGAGTTGTGGTAGATATATGTATATATATATATATATATATAGATTTATGGATACTTTTTTACGTTGTGGTTTTTTGTTTTAAATTAATGCCATCTGTCTTCTTTTCCTTTTTTTTTTTGTTAATAAGCTCTAATTATGTTTTTTTCATTTCTTTGATTTTTAAACAACGCACTTTTAAAAAAATTAACCAAAAAAAAATTATATGTTTGATTTGTATGATATTTTTGTTTATCACATTGGTTTGAATTTATTTACGATTCTTTTTTAAATTGTTGTTTGGTGTTTTTCTTTTGTTTTTTTGTTTCTTGTTTATTCTTTTTTTTTTTTTTGAAGGCACTTTGAGAAACGCGTGGTGGGTTGTTTTGGGTTGGTTGGTTTTTTGTTTTATTATTATCGTTCCCTTTGGTTAGTCGCTAATTTTTTGTTTGCTTTTATTTTGGTTAGCTTGGGTTTTTTTTTTTATTCCAGCTGTTTCACTGTTCTCCCTTTCGTCCAAGGGGGGTGCTGACTGTTGTGTGTGTGTGTGGGAGTGTGTGTGTTTTGTTATAGTTTTGTTCTGGTATGTCTATCGATGAGAGGGGGGAAAAGGAGGGGCGGGCCTTTGTGGCCTGCGTTGCGTCGCTCTCAGCGGACTTTTGCCGTTTGGTAGTATGGTCGCCTCGCACAGCGCTATTTATTACAAAAGAAGGGGGCGGCAGGCGCTCAATGTCTTCCGTCTCTGTCTCCGTCTCGGTCTCCCTTACTCCCTGTCTCGTCGCCAGTCCCTGTCTCGCTTGCTCTCTCTCTCTCGTCGCGTCTCTTCCTTCCTCAATTTCGATGAGCTACGCGCGGCTGTTCAATCGATACTAAAATACTGACTGCCGTTGCCGTCCCGTCGCTGCTCTGGTGCGCTGGCCTAACTGCTGCCGCCACCGTCGCCGCCGCTGCCTCAGTCGCCGTTACCGTCGCCGCACAGTGGGACAAAAAGAAATTACTAGCTAGCAAGATAGCTAGATAGCTAATGGAAATAGAGAGAGATCTTTGTTCTTATTTGAATTTACTTTTAGCCTTTGACCCTTGTTAAACTCTTTCTTAAATCATTTCAAAGGCTTCTCTATACTTTACACTTAAAAGTTCGTCAATTTTGGTATATGTTTCAAGATCTAAATATTAGTGTACACTGATTCTTCAAAAATTTAGAAGGCTTCATATCAGAATATATGTATGTATCAACTATGCTTGATATTTGAGATATCCTCTGGAAAACATAGACTGATTTTTTATAGTCCGACTAAAGTTCAATGACCTTAACCTTGGTACTAGTATGAACCTAGATGAATATTAGAATGTATAGATCCTTATATCCATGTAACCCGATTCTTCTATCTGCTATCTGAAAAAGCTCCTTGTAGTAGTCAAGGTTCATAATATACAATACATATATTTACGAATTTTCGTTTTTAATTTTAATGTTTTTTATTAATGTCTAACCGTATTTTCTGAATACTAGTCTGATTGATTTATTACGAATTTTCAATTATGTACATATGTACATAAGTATACATATATTGCTGTTCAGAATTTACGTTGCACTCTTTTGTTCCATGTTTAAACAACAAATTTACTGGCTATCGTTTTTCTTTTCATTTAGGGGAGTAAGTGATGTGAGAAGAGAGAAAGATTGATTGGTGAGAGAAGGAAGCAAAGAGAGACAAGTGTATTAGTAAAGTGCATATCCTTTGATATCCTTTAATGTTACTCGTTAAAAACAGCGTACACTTTTCTTTGGATTTTCAGTAAATCTTGAAAAGAACTATTGGAACATTAGAATTTTCAGAACAAGCAAAACAAGATTTAAGAAATATTGAGTTTTTGCCAAAAAGTAATCACATTGTATATGACTGGAATTTTGCGATTTGTGACCACTGTGCCCCAGTGGCGTTCCATCCAGAGAGAGTCAATATATCCATGTATGTGTGTAGCGTTGGTGTTGCTGTGTTTCAAGATCGCGTTCTAATGTCGATAGAGAGACAGACAAAGAGAGGGTGAGCTAGAGAGAGTATATAGACCGAAAGAAAGAGTAGTTGCTTACTTTGCTGCTTTGCTTGCCAAAATCCACAAACAATGCGCCTTGCTTCTTTGTTTACATTCGTTCTTTGTCTGCATTTGTTGCGTTGCATTTGCAGGCTCTCCTTCTTCTCCTTTACATTCTCCTCCTCGGCCTCTCCTCTTTGCGTTCTTCACTTGGCCTTTTGACTCGGCTGCAGTTGCGCAAATGGTCTCGCTCTCCGGCTCTCTTTCACTTATTTCTCTTCTCTCTGCGCTGCCTGTTAACTTGTTGCGTCGTCTTGACATTGTATGCGTGTGTGTGTGTCTGCTCACAGTGAGCCTTCTCGGATAAAGACAGCTGTTTTGAAGTGTACCTAAGACATTTTTTGTACCTAGGAAGTATTTGAAGGTTCTTTTTTTAAAGTCATTTTATAAGTCTTAAAAAAAAAGAAAGTCTTATCGTTTTTTAACGATGATTAATATGTATCAAATAGTTAAATTCTCTTAATAGGTACTTTTAACCTTGTATACTAGTTCTTATTTATCTTAAGAAGAAATTAAACTTTCTATATAAAACTCTTTATAAAGTCCCATATTTAGAATTAAGGTACTATAGGTTTTTTTTTGTAAAATATAACAGTAAATATCTTAAATTTAGTAAGCTAAAAAAAATCAATTAGCTAAACCCGCACCACTGTCCCATAACATTGACAAAGAATCGATAATTGTTGGAGTTTCTGAAAATATGGGGAAAGGGAATCGAAGCTGGGCAATGACACCGCAAACAACCACGTGAGATTTGCATGCGAGTACTTAAAGCAAACTCTGCCGGCAACAGATTGTTGATTCACTAGCTCTGCTGCTGCAGTGAGATGTTGTTACAATTCTAGTCACTAAAGCGGTTAAACCACCCCAATTGTTTGTATTGATTATATGCCAACTACAGGTATGTTGACCTAATCTCTACAGACTTAATTATGCAAACTTGTCACCTTTTAGCAGTACAAAGAAAAATGTAGTTGGGAATTATAAGGAAAAGATTAAATTCAATTGGGAATTCAAAATATCTTTGAAAAGGTCATAATATAAGTTTTTTAAATATTAATATTGTTTAAAATATATAAAAAAAAAATAATATATTATTATTTTATAACTTATTTTTAAATAATATTAATAATATATATAGCTATAAAATGGTCAGAACATTAGTACTGTTTGCTATGTGTTTTTGTTTTGTTTGCTTCCTGTTCCAACTTGTTGCTCAGTTGGTTGTGCCACCCACTTTCGATGGCTGAAATGTACATAAGTGGGTGATTTCATGTGGGTGTGTGTGTGTGTTTTCTTTTATTTTGTCCTGGGAAAATAGGATGTGTGATAGGTGGTAGTTTTACTTGTGAGAGAGAGTGTGTTGGCCGGTAGAGGATTATTTGCCATAATCTCCCAGTTCATACATGATAGAACTTTGACCCAGCTAAAAATCCTGCAATTGATTCCAAATACAAAGTGTTTTTTTTAAAGGTAATTAAGTTAAGCAAAGGGTTTTTAATGCCTTTTTTACTTTAAGCTGATATTTATTTCAAATTCTTATTTTGAAGCTTTTTAAAAAGGTGTTGTTAAAGTCTAGACTTTTTTGTGAACTGAATTGAGTTTCGCTTGATTGAATTTCCATTTCATGTGAATTTGGAATATATGTACGTATATATGCTAACTACCGGGTATTAAAAATTCGAAAGTTAAACTTTTTGGTTTGTTTTTCCCTCAGTTTTTTCCCCATTTAGTTCCGCTGATGTTGACAGAATGCAAAAAAAAAAGAAACAACTGCGACAAATTTATTTAACATTGGATTGAATACGAGAAACAGAGAACCTCGGCTTCCTGTTTGTTAGATGTGCCTGTTTTTGGCAGATATTTCCAGGCCCCTGTGATATGGCTGTCTATTTTGATAAGCACACGAAGGTGCATTGAACCCCCACAGCATTTCATCGTAACATTATAACCTTTTTTTTTTTTGAGAGTTTGTAACTTTCCGCTGCCTGTCGTCAGTGTTACATTTCATTTTTATATTCAGTTCAGAACGCATTTACTGGTTTTATTAAACGGAAAACTGGTTTATTCTTTGGGTTGCCTAATTTGCAGATTTGTTTTTTTTTTCTGGTTTAACGAGGATAAATAAATCATAAATGCAAGCATTTTGCATTTCAAATATTTCTACGTCAAGTTGCACAAAAAGTAAATAGAACAAACGCTTATCAGAAATTAAAGTCAGACAAAATGTGACGGTGAAAAAATATAACTTGCAGTTTCTGGACTATTTTTTTTTTTAGAATTTAATGCAGATAAAAAATATGCAATTCGAGGAATCACAGAAAACCATTTTGTGTTTTTTTTTACATTCAATGTTATATATCTGGCATTAATTAAATATTTATTTAATTTATTATTTTACATGGGAATAGAAAAACTGCAAACCAAAACCGGTAAAAATAAACATAAATTCCCTGAACTTAACTTGCGGCCAATGTTTGTTCAATTTTTTCCGCTTCCACTAGGGGGACATTGTCATTGATCGTTGATATAATATATTGATGTTATGATGATGATGACGATGAGTTTGGCTCGGGATATTCACGTGATTCTTCCCATTTTGATTCCCTCTGCTATGTCACAAGTTTCTTGTTAGATTTCGAACTTTGGATGCTAGCGGATGGATGGATGGATGGGCAAACCAATTTTGATTAGATTTTATTGCTGCATCACAAGAGATGAGATCATATAATGAAGAGACTGGCCATTAAGCAATCAAATGTTTTTTTTTTTAAAGTCATAGGTTGGTATTGCGTTTTGAATTTAATCCTTATCTGTTTTTAGATGATGCACTTAAATCATTTTCTTTGATTTAAAGGTACTAAGAAGTTAGAAAACGAGGAAAGTTGAGGTACAACATTAACTGGTATGTTGATTGATTTTATAGCATATAATATATCTAGCATTTTGTTTGTCACATCTCATATCAAGCACCTCTTGGCTTAAAATTGCCTTAAATATCTTCTGAGATCCAATCTCCATCATATCTCCTATACATATTCCAAAAAATTCACTTCTTACATTATTTTCCAATCAACTTTTCAACCAATAAAAACTCTTCCTTTTAAATTTTAAGTTCTTTTTTTTTGTTTGACAGCTTATGCATATTAATTAACAATTATCAATATTTAATACAATTAATTTGCTACACTCGAATAGTATATACACAATGTACACGCAGAATATAGTTTACATAAATATACAGTTAAAAAAAAAAAATTAAGCACTTGGCAAATGCGATAACAAGAATAATATTTTGCTAAATTTAGGATGGATGTGTTTAGGAAGGGGCGCAACGGAGTAGGTCTTGGAATTGCTGGCATTGAATGCAACTTTATAGTTGCTCATTAAATCCGCTTAAGACTTCTCTGGCATCACGGGTGGTGACTTTCGATTCCGAGCACGGATGAAGTCCTCCAGATACCAACCGGCAAAGGCCATCACGCAAAGGGCATTCAATACGTTAAGGGTGAATGCATAGCTAGTCATATCACGTAGCATTCCTGAAGAAGATTTAGAAATTATAAATTATATATGTAAATACATAGATCAATATTACTCACCAATCAAAGGTCCACATATAACCGAAAAGGTGCCGGACATAAGCAGCTGTAGACCAGCAGCCGCTGGCAATCTTTTCAGCGGCACATAGCCGGGAATGATAAGTGACCAGAAGACCGTGCGGAAGGCCTTGTTTAGGCCCAACCATAGGAATATGGCCATCATGGCATTAAAGTTCGTAGTCATCGAGAGCAGTGAACGGCCAATGCACATACCCAAGATTCCCACAACGAAGAAGGTTCGATTGCTTAGATTGATTTTGGCCGTGATAAATGGTATTAGGAATCGTACAACCAGATCAAAGAATCCCAATGTCGACATGGCAAAGGTAGTCTGAGACTCTGTAAAACCTAGATCCCCTAGGATAAAGGGTGTCAGGATGGCAAAGTTGATTTCCACAAAGTTGATTAAGGTAATGCCCACGGCTAAGTTAACATAGGTAATGTCTTTTAGCAAATCCATATCAAAGAATATAAGAACTTTCATATAGAATGGCAGCTTCTTGCGGCGTTGACGCTCCTCTTCGTCCTCCAGCTTTTGTTTCTCCTTCTCCGTTAGCTCGGTGGTGTGCTGCTCCTCATGATCGGAACTGTTGCCATGGGTTTCCTCCTCTTTAATGCTGTGACTCACGGAGATGCTACGCATCTGTCGTCCAGGATTCGAGTCTCGACTACTTAGCCTCTTGAGCTCCACATGACCATTGCCCTCTGATTTTTCCCAAGTATTTAAACGATTACGAGTGCCCACACTGTTGAGAGAGGCTCTGGAGCCGAACCAACCATCATTGGCACGTGGTAGCACTGGGGTCTCTGGCTCTACAACATTCTTGATAATATCCTCGTCCTGATCCTCGCGCTCGGCCAACGGTTGAACAGGCTGCAGTGCTTCCGCATCGCGATCCCGCTTAACCACATGCCACTTGACTGGCTGGTAAATCAACGAACACGCTATTGTATGCAATGAGGCACCGGCGAAGAGAAGTGTCGTTCCCATGACTCCATACTCAGTCTTCATATCGGATGCAAAGAACGGACAAACAATGGGTCCAATTCCAGCCACTCCGAATTGGAAAGCCGTTGCCGTGCGTCGCTTCACCTTGAAGTATGTATTGACCGCCAGCGAGGAGGCAGATACCGTCAGTCCTCGCCCGAATCCATATATGATAGAGAAGCTCAGAAGGTAGATGATGAAAGTGTCTGCGAAGACCATCCAGAAGAGGCCCAAAAAGGTTAGGACGGATCCAACAAGGGCCACCACTCGATATGTGTAACGTCGGAAAAGCGGGCCGTTTAGAAGACCTTAAAATTTAGTAAATGAATAAGTGTTTGTTTATATTTTAAAATGGTATTAGAAATGGCATCCTAGCCATAACCATCTCCTCCTTCTCCACTCACCCGTAAATGCAGAAACGGCGATTTGCATGTTAATGATAGTTGTCAGCTCAGAACTGGAGATCCCTAGATCTGCCATACGTATTTTGAATATGATACCAAACTGCTGGGCTAATGCGAACGTTACAAGCTAGAGGGATATATATAAGGATATACATTTTTGGCAAGCTTACTAGAAAGATAGTTACTTACAATATTAACACCACTGGCGACGGCCACGAGCCATCCCCAGCCTCCGTCAGGCGCCACGAAGTCATCACCCAGATCGCTCTTGTCTCGCCTCTTTTTCACCAAATGCGAGCCCTTCTCTGGGTTCTGTGGCTGGGATTCGGCATTTGGTTGGGAATAGGTAGGAGGCGGTATTTTGGTTTGACTCCCTGATCCGTTCTTGGGTAGAAGCTGTTCTTCATGCTCATCGGGTAGCCTCAGTCTGGATTTCTCATTGTTGTTATTATTGTTGTTGTTATTGTTTTGATGTTTCTCATTATCAGTCATCTTGGAATTATGGTTTTGCGCCTTAGGCGTCTTTTCGCTAGGATTTGGTGTGGTGGGATTTGGGGGGACTTGGGTTAGTTTAGCGCTGCGGGCTTTTGTCCGGTTGTTGCATTACTGGGCTAATGGTTAGGCGCGATCAAAATGCTGGATCCAGTGATTGTAATTCTGTAATTTATTTTTTAAATACAGTCCAATTTAGTGATGTTGTGAAGAAGAGTGAACCAAGTGGTCCCAAGTACTAGTTCTTAGACTATGTAAGTAACTTTTTAAATTTAGTCAATTAGTTTGAAGAAAAGGATAATATAGGACTTAAGAGGGTTAGCAACTTTATTCTACCTATTACAAACGTTTCAATAAAATATTTTGCTTATTGTTTTCAAGACACCTAAGACTTCATACGGACATACGGACTTGGCTCTATCGATTAAGCATACTTTTATAGGGGTGCAAACTTTCTTAGATAGTGGCTACTGCTTCTAATAACTTTTATAAACTTATTGTTTCCAAGATAACAGCCTTATACGGACAAACGTACGGACATGTTTAGATCGTGGGTAGTGATTCTAATAATATATATGCTTCATAGAGTTAAAAACTTTCTTCTACCTATTAGGAATATTTTGCAATACAAACTTACAAACTTATTGTTTCCATGCCTTCAAACGGAAAAAACGAATGGACATACGGACATGACTACTCAATAATATGTATGCTTTATAGGATTCGAAACTTTCTTCCACATAATATCAACTTTTCAACGAAATATTTTTAGCAATAGAAACTTTTTTAAAATATTTTAGGAATGTGAAATGTAATCACTACGAGTACTCTATGTTTATTTTTCGATGGCTTAGTAAGCGGTAACTTGGGAATATCGCCTGTAGATTATGCGGATTGATTTTTTATTATTTATTTATGCATTTTAAAGAAATTAGAAATCAAACAATAATGCAAATTTCACAACTAGTTTAAATAGTTTCACTTGACTAGAAGGTTTCGATATTTCATCACAGTTCTCATAAATTTGTTTTATTGTTTATAAAGTGGTTTTGTTGGTATTTATTTTTAAAGATTTCTTACACTCTTTATTGCTTTAAAATAATTAGCTATATTAATTAGTCAGAATTTAATTAGCATTAAAACGTTTAGCCACCAACACTATGGGTACACGCTCAAAGTATTTCAGCAAATCAAAATAAATACAAAAAAATCTAAAACAAACCAATATTCGGAATCCCACTGAATTGATTCACACACAGGCCAAGCAGACAACCGTTTACGACTTAATTGATTGTATTTTTTTTATATATATAAATGGTTTTTTATATCGGAGCTTTGCGAGACGGCGGGACGAAAGCCTCAACCTCAACTGACCGATCGTCCCAATGATATTTTGGGCAACTCTCACTCTTCTGGCGGCGCTAAACGATTTTTGTGTTTTGAGGGCGGCCTGAAAACGTGACTGGCAAAAAAACCCAGAATTTAAGTAAATAACACCGATTTAGCACCCATTCATTATATAAAGACAGTCAGTAACAGCACCAACAACACACACATTACACGTCAATGGGTTTCGATTGTTGTTGATCATGATGATGATGATCAACCGAGAGAGCTACGCCTTATCGCGCCCGCAATTCCATTTTAGAGAGCAAAGTTACGAGCTTTATTTTATGATATTTTTTTCGAAATTGGAATCGGAATTCATATCCGAGAGTTTGGGGACCAGAAATGAGTGTTCATTGTAAATATTTCTGTTAGAAACAAAAAAAAAACGAGATATACATTTGGCACAGGGCCCATTAGGCGGCATATGTGGTTTTATATGAGATCTTTTAGTGGGGAAAAGGGTAGGGGGAGGGGTAACCATGTGATAAGGCGCACTCCTTTTGCCTACCGATATCATCTAATTATACTGTTTGCCCAATGGCTATATCCGCAACACAAGGTTGTAGAAGCTAAAAAAGTTTTCAATCAATCCACGCAATCACTCCACTCGAAAAAATGGGAGTTGTTTCTTTTTGATTTGAGAAGTTTTTAGGGATTTTGAATATATTATTTTAGAGATAAACTTTTCAGAATTTCTTAAAAACGAAATCTTGTAAGCCTTTGAAAAGTTTTTATAAAATAAAGTAAACCAACGCTCTCGTTATAATTCTCAAGCAAGAGTTTTGATGGTGATAGTTTATCATCCAATCCAATGAAACTAACAAAGTTATGATTAGAATTAATAACTATTCAAGAGAAAACCATTCATTTAAGATGCTTAGATTCTGATTTTCAAACTAAATTAGTTGAATTTTTTTCTAAGTACTTTCTGGCCCGCTTACTATCCTGCTTACTTGCTTTATCGGACTCCGACTGGCCTCTAATTGTTTTGCGACTGCTCCAGCAGCTGAACCGAACCGAACCAAACCGAACCGATCAGCGAATGAATGACCATTGCAAAATATATATATATATATATTAGTCATATGGGCAGTTAGGGGTGTATGTGGGCTGTGGGCAGAAGATAAGATTCGCTGGCAAAGTTCGTTTCATATGCGATATACACTCGACATATATGTCGGGAAGTGGAAAATGGTTTGTACTAAAGGTCGGACTATACAGAACGAGCTGGCCATTAAACGCTGCTCAAATATCAATTTTACAGTGGTGGTTTAATTGCCTGGCAATCAGCAGCAGCATATAGAAGTACACATACTATATGCTAAACACCGTGGGTAAGAGCAGACTTTTGACTTCGCTTATCATTCGATATATAAACTGCATTCACACGTATAATGGGGGTATAATTGAAAAGGGACCTCGGTAGTGTTCCGACTGTGAAGTGAATCAGCTATTTTGTTATCATATCGACTGGATATGGTTATGACCAAAAAATGGAATGGAATTTTTCAATGCCATTCAATTGTGTCGAACCACCCATCGATCAGCACAAGCACATGGCAAGAATTGTTGCCTTAAGAACAAGACGACGTTGATGATACACGTGATGAACTCATCAAAAAGCTAAAGTAAATGTTTTTACAGGGTTGCGAAATGTACTTATAGGAAGTATCTATAAAGTGACCTACTGAACTGCATGTTAATTATGATAATCTATTGATTATCAATAATTATTCATAGTGAAAAATATCGTATCCTAGTCAATATCAAGGCTAGTGATCACTCAGAATATGTAAGTTTTACAGGGTTACGAAATGTACTTATAAGAAGTGTCTAAAAAATGACCTACATATCTACATTTTTTGATTGTGATACACACATCGATAATTACCATAGTCAAGGATATCGTTGAAGATATTGATAAAGATAGAAGATCGAAGATATCTCTCAAAAAAAGTAAACTTTACAGGGTTACGAAGCGTACTTTTAGGAAGTATCCATAAGGTCACTTTATGGATGGATACTGAACTGCATTTGTTGAATGTGATAATCACATCGATTATCGATATTTAAAAGAAGTTAAGTTAAGTTATTAGAACTTATTTTTGTATATTCCCTAAAGCTCTATCAAATTATCTATTCAATTAATGATACCTACTTAGAACCTAGCAACGAAGCAAAGATAAAAATAATGATTAGTTGACAAACTCAAATCAACAGCTGCTACTCAGCATTCTGTAGACACAGCAAGTTATCAAATCAATTGATAACACATCTAAAGATACTTGTGCGTTTACGTAATGAATTAAAGTTAAACTAATAATAGATTGCTAATAAACTTTGACTTGTAATCAGACTACCTGTTTCCTGATCTAACCATTCCTTCTTGATTAGCACACAGTTTACAAAGAAGTTTGATTACAAAAACGATTCAGCGATCTCTTCAGTGCTTAGCTTTTTTTAGGAAATTATAAATTCCAAGATTAGATTTTCAGGGAAAGGCCATTTAAAACTCCCAAAAAGAGAGCGACTATATGTATGGCCTTAAGTGTTTGATTAGCACGCGACGTCTCGTTGTCGGTATTAGACGTTTAAGACGATTAAGCCGTCTAAAGCTAAAAACAAACATTTGTATAATTAGAGCTTTCCGCATTATACGACGACATCCCCTACCTTATAACTTTAGCATTCCGTCTCTAACACAAAACGTTCAGTATATACGACTATATATATATTCCACTTCACAGACAATAAAAAGAATATTTGCATGGGTCTAACAAAGATGTCAAGATGATCCCATAAAAAAATAAAAAAACTTTAACAACCTCACTGGTAGACGATTGCCTTTTGGTAGCCACTGTTCTAACGATTTGGAACTTGGTTTTCTTGGTGGGTGGTGGTGGGTGGTATTCTTTAAACCATAAATGCTACGTTTGAGAGGAAAAGTGACTTTGATTGATATTTGATTGATGGGTAAGAGAACATCACGCTTGCACTGATATCAAAGTAGTACGTAATAATTCGAAATTTTGGTTTTAGTTCTGGAAGAACCACAAACTATTTGGATTTATTAGATGTCGCTATTTCACAATAGTGGGAGACACTATTTATAGATAACAAAACATATCAGTATATGATTCCAAAAGTGATGAAATTGGTTTCTATTTCTGAAGAAATTAAAGGTGAATTTGAAAGGTTAAAACGTTTTTAAATATTTCTCTTGATCGAACTTAGTTTTTGTTTGTTTCTTTGGAATGGTATTAGTTTGGAATACTCTTATTGACTTATATTTTCCGTAAACTATAATTTTGTTCACACTTTTTGATCAGGTTAGCAATTTCTATATAACTTTTTGTAGACTTTCACATATTATAAAACAATTTCCCTATTTAATACCAGCATTATGATTTTTACCGGTAATAATGATAAGAAATTTCACAATTCTTTTGATTAAAAACCGGAAAGGAGGAGCTTAGATAATTTGTTAAGTAGAATTGATATAAGTTTCTTGACCGCTGTTTTTGCTGATACTACATACTATATATATATATATATATATATATATAGGGTATATATATTTTGGATTTGAATGCGTTGCACGTGTCTGGCAAAAAGCGCGCGCTTTGAGGGAAGAAGAAAAGATCATTTAGTTTGCTGCTCTAGTGCTAATTGCTACTAAATTAAAATACAAATGTTAACGCACATACACAAACACACACTTACACATGCACTCTAATTTACATTATATAGATATATAGATATATATGTATATATTTGTATATTTATGTATTTGGGCCGTACGTTTTATTTTCGTAAATGGTTTTTCCTTCCTTCTCTGCTGTTTGTTGTTCAATTGTTGTTGTTGTTATGCTGTAGTAAACTTGCGATACAAAACAATAACAAAAACAAACATAACAAGAAAAAAAAAGAAGAAATAAAAACGAGACGAGAGGCGGCTGCGAGAGTCAAGTAAATAGAATATATATATTATTTTTTTTTTTGAATATATATTCAACAGGCGACGACTTTTCCGTTACGTTCACCAGCGCGAACTGAACTGAACAATTTTGTGAATTATAGTATTAAACACCCAAACACAACGCACACTCACATACGCACACACTAACGCATTCATCGATGGAATACTTGCTCACTTTGATTTTGTCACAGTGTGTGTGTTATTTTGGTCTTTAGCTTGAGCTTTACCGTTGCTCCTGCTCTTTCTTCTTCTTGCGCCTGCCTGTTTGCATTTGTTGTTGCCTTCGCGTTCTATGGCTGTTTTTTTGATAAGGGAATTATTTTGTGTTACCACTGTATTTGCTTTACTGTTGTTGTAATTAGTTTTGTCGTCGCAGGCCCGATTATCAGGGGCAAATATAGGTAGGTACATACATATATATTCATATGTACCGACATATGTGCCCACGGACATCAGTGCACATATGTACTTACTTCACAGTTATATGTTTGTTTGTATATATCTCCATACTGAGCGCATTACGTATACGTATACGACGCGAACGCAAAAAAAAAAAAAACAAAATACAAACGAATAACACGACTCATAAATACATTATGATAGCGCCGGCGATTAGAATTTGATTTTGCCATCGACCGCCACAGTGGAATAAAGTGTCAATGGAAAATTAATTGGGAAAAGCAATTTCCTTAAGTAGCAGAGCATGGCGTTTCTATTTTTTATTTAGTAATTTAATTATACATTTTGTTTGTATATTTTGGTATCAAAACTATGAATTGGCTTAAAACCAACTTCGTCTTTGTTATGCTTGAGCCTAGAACTGGTCTACTTAAGTTTTAACTTTATCCCTTAAATTGGGTAACAATAGTATGTAATTAAAACAAACAAGAAGCCATTCACTGGGTAGTATGTAAATGCGGATTCTAAACCACTTAAATTACTCATTCGACCGGTGATATCACAACGCAGTCAACTTTAGACACTTTAATCATTATAAAAGAGTTTCTCAATGCATTGTTATTACTAAATTTTTCCAATATAATGGCTTATAGAATGTCATAAATTTAATCTCAAATATTGTACATGTGCGAGAGTTAGAGAATCTAGAATATCAACGTTGATGCTACAATAGTACTTGTAAATCAAAAGTAAAAGCAGTTTCTATCCCTGCACATCCCACTGTGCGTCTTACATATATCTCCGTTACCTACAGGAAATGCGCATAGTTGGCCGGCAAGTGACAGGCGTGTTAAGCCCTTGGCTAGGACCTGATGATGTTGACAGCTTGTCAGTGAAACAGGTACGGGAACTTGACTCTGCTGGCCAAGTCCTCCTATATATTATCATCAGTTTGTCTTACACTCCAAGGCCATTTGGGAACCCCAATGACGCATGATCAGATTAAGGATTACGGGAGCAAAGTGAAAGGTCCTCAGTTCTGGAGCGGATTAGTTAACTTCGAAACCTCTGGGACCTTCTGTTTTGACGTTGGCCAGATTATCAGCTTTTCAAGTGCTAAAAATAATCTTGAAATTTAATTCATATTTTCGTTTTGTGATGATCTTTATGGATAACCCAATCTATCTCTGGAACGTGTACTAATTAATTTTTAATAGTTTGTTGAGAATTTTTTTGAGAAATTCTATATCTAGAAGTTGGATACCAATAAAGATTGGAAGATGGCCTTTACTCCCTAACATCTGTAGTGGTCAGAGTTCCAGTCTTGCAATATATTTGTGGCTTTTACAATTCGCTGATAAGACCTGCTCACATTTTATTTGGAACTTGGCATTTTTAATAGCTATACTTGCCACTCGGGTACAAAGACCAAGGTGGGTGTGTCGAACCGCAAATAAAACACAAAAAAACAGAAAAGGCGCCAACAGCAGTTTCTTTCTCGTCCAAGTGACGAGGATCATGACATATGGTCATATAATCGGGAATATAAGTATTTGAGACCTGCCTCCACCGCCAAAGATAAGCAATGTATTCGAAATGTTTTAGAAACGGCTGGGTTGGCGGATGTCGGGGATATTTTATAATATGGGGAGTACAGTAGAGATTCAATTGGCAAGAAATCAATTAGATTAAAAGGGGAAAATATATATGTAATTTAAGGTATATTTATAGAAGTTAGGTCAATATATTTTTGGAAGAAGGAACTAAAATCTTTCTAATCTTTACAAAAGTTTTCTAACAAAAAGTCTAAAAAAAAGTGGCATTGAAATAAATACTTTTTAGGTAAAATAAAAAAATGTTTAAAGTGATATTAGAGTAATTTCTGAATTGGATAAACGTTCTAACTGTTCTTAGAAAACATTTTAAACACATAACATATTTTATTAAATTTTATAAATTTAAAATCAAATTAAAGAAGTTTTGTTGCCCTTACTGAAGGTCATTAAATGTTAAACTGTCTTATTACGAAATTCATCCTAAAAGATACCACATTTTTAATAATATTTTTCCCTTTGCGCCTATTAAGATGCAGCCTTTTAAAGAACTTTCACCACATAAAGAAAGGTGCTGAAAGTGCTTCTAAAAATCATATTAAAGACCGCCACATGACTAAAATTTAATCGATTGCTGAAATAGAATAATAATCGATAAAGTTAATAATTAATATACGTAAACCCTCAACAATTTTCAGTTCAAAGCCTATTTTTAGGGGGTGTCTCCCAAAACTGCACAGCTTTTATTTTTAATTAAAATTTCAAATACATTTTAACTTTATTATCTGTTGATATAAACGACATTCATAATAAGTGGCTAACAAATAGAGCCATCAAAAAGTAGCATTGATATTTATTTATTTTGTAATATGGAATATTAAACTTTTTTTTAACGTTTTGCTTGTTTTTTTTTTGTGGAAAACATTTCGATTTTTCTTTTAACAGCATAGCTTAGCTGACTTTCGTCCACAACATCGATTAAACGGCAAGTTAATTAACAGCAAAAACTGTGTCTAGCAAATAGCTGCCAATAAGGTGTATATATATACTCCTATATCTGGAATAAATAAATTCTGAGTTCGCATTTATTTGCTCCGATTTGATATCTTAATTGGTACCTTGTTGATAAATGTTGAACAAGCCCTTGTGAAACCCCTTTTACTTCTTATTTATTTATTTGCATTGACATTCTAAGAGTAAACATCTATAAAAAAAAATGGAACATTTAAGTTTAGTTCTATATTTACCAGTAGATGCTAGTACTATTTACGATAGTATCACTCTTAAGATCCACATACCAAAGGTGTACTAAAATCTTTGCAAATCTTTTTCGATCATGCCCGCTTATCAATCATTTCACATTAATCACGACGAGAAGACTTATATTTTCTAACTAATATACATTTTATATTTATCAACTGATGAACAATATTACAATTATTACATATCACTAAGTACATTCAATAAGTCTAGTTAAGAGTATCAAAAGCTACACAAAAAAATAGGGAGTAGGTTGTGGGATTACAAGCTATAGTTAAGAGATATGTTTCTTAGGTATCTTTAAGTGCGATAGACGCCGGCGCCGCATAATCAAGTAATACTATTCACACAAATTGATCAGATTTAGTACTACATAGTTATATATGTGGACTAGGTATATGTCTATAGCTTCAAATTTAAGCTAATGATCTCGCACACTGGGATGGACAGAAATATATGCATGCAAGTAGTTCAGTTCAAGCGAAGGTATTTGAGCTCCTTCTTAACGGTTATCTAATTTAGATTAGATAGAATGCTGCTTCTATTGACCCAATCCTTTGGAGGGTTTACCCAAAATACGACGTACCACCGACTCTGATAGCCAAAGAAGCAAAGCCAGGCCAGTAAGAGCATTGATGGTATGAATGGTTGCCTTATAGCCAAATGCCTCAGTTACAGCACCTAAAATTAGATTGTTATTCGATTATTATATAAAAATTAAATATAAAAATCAAAAAACTTACCCAGAATTGGACCCATGGCAAAGGAGAAATTCGTGTTGAACATCAACTGCAGGCCAGATGCAGCTGGTAAACGATTTAATGGCACATAACTGGGAATGATCAATGGCGAGAAGATGGTGCGGAAACCTTTGCCAAACCCAATTAGCAAGAAGACACCGATCATGACCTCGTATGAACTGGTGAATGCAACAACCACACGACCCACAGCGATGCAAAGGATACCAAAAGCAAACAGGACACGGTTATCCAGTTTGACTTTCTCTAAAGCCAATGGAGCAAGGAAACGAACTGATATATCCATGATGGCCAGCAATGACATCACCAACGATATCTGTTTATCATCATAACCGAAACTATTTAGGATGAATGGTGTTAGCACTGAGAAGTTCATCTCGCCAAACATCATAATGCTCATGCCAACGGCCAAATTGACAAAGGTAAAGTCACGCATCAAATCCAAATCGAAGAATTTGTGAACTTTCTGATAGAAGGTCATGTGCTTCTTGGCCTCTTCTTCGGCAATTTCATCGGCTATTTGATTTAGTTTATTAACCATTAATGATTCCGCGGTCTTTTGCAACAGTACCTTGTCTTCGGCACAGGTGCAACGGATTGGTTCCTCTTGACCAGGTCGGGAATAGACGCTCGTCTTACTGGCATAACGATCCATATCTTCGCGTTCACGATTAAAGTAATTTGGCTTGTATAAGGGTGCAGCCGACGGTGTTTCTGGACCTTGATCATCCTTATTCAGTTCACATCGATCGAGATTTTCACGACTCCTGGATGAAACCTGACGCATTAGGGCTTGCCGAGTGCGATAGCGTGCACCACCCGCACTTTCCGAGGCCAATGAAATCTTCGATCCAAACCAACCATCATTGGCTCGAGCCAACATCGGTGTTCCCGGTTCGGTGATCTCATAGCCAGGCCTCTCGGGATCGTCAACATTGAAGAGATACTGAGACGAGAAGATGCCACGCTTGCCACGCTTTTGATATTGACAGTATTTGCACTCATAATCCTTCCACGGATCATTGTTAGGGGACAGCAGATTACCATTGGCCTCCAATAACTCGGCTTGTAGTTTCTCTTTCTCGGAAGCACCTTCAATGGCAGCTGGAACTGGTTTCTCGGGCTTCTTCACATGCCACAGCACAGGCTGAAGTGTCGAAGCGCAGAGTATGGCATTCATGGCGATACCAGCATAGATTAGGATACTACCCTGGGCACCATAAAAATCTAGCAGAAAGGTGGAAACCTGTGGAAATAGAATGGGACCCAGTCCTGTGATGGTCCATGAAAATCCTGTGGCACGACGTCTCTTCTGTTTAAAGTATGTATTAACTGCCAGCGAGGTGGCTGCCATGGCAAGACCCAATCCGATACCATAAACCGCTGACAGGCAGAAAATGTACTCCCAAAAGGTGGTGCAAAAGGCCGACATAAAGATGCCCATGAAGGCCAAAGTAGTGCCGGTCAAGGCCACCTGACGGAATGTGAAGCGCCGGAACATGGCTCCATTAAAGATTCCTATTCGGTGATGGATTAGTTTGGTTAACTAATAAATAATCCTCTTCAATATAAAACTAAGTAAAACTCACCCACTAGCGATGAGATTGCCATCACAACATTCACAATGGTCGTTGTTTGCTTGGCATCAAAGCCCAAGGAATGCATTCGGACTCTGTAGATCAGGCCATACTGTTGCAGGGCCGGGAAAAGGAAGAACTAAGACGAAACGAAGACCAATTATCAGCTTTTCCAACCACCAACTGGGCATCTCTGTATATTACTTACATTATTTAAGCCAGCTGCCAGGCAGACCACCCAGCCCCATCCACCGTCGGGCGCCACAAAATCCGGACCCAGATCGCTCTTGTCGCGACGCTTGGGCTTCTTTGGCTTCGTTGTGTCGTTGTAGACATTAGTGCGATTCTTCTCCGTTAAGCTGGATTTATCCATTGTGATGGGATTTGATCCTGAAAGTGCAAAGACGTTGATTAATGGGATTGTTTCTTGAAGTTCAGATAGGGTTGATTTCTTCTGTTGGTTTGTTGTTCCTTTTTCTTTTTGAAAGGCAGAACAATTGTTGCCTACTGAGGGGGTTATATATATATATTAAAATGTATATTCCATCAATATGTTAAGTTGGGAGACTCATTTCGTATCTCATTTATCATAAAAACAATTAGCAAAACCTAAAAAAATCTTTTACTTAGAGACCTAAATGGCAGGCATGTGTAAGATTTTTCCCTGTAAATTAGTGATTTCTGTTAAGAAAAATATAAAAATAACATTAAAGGCGACCTCCTTAAACAGTGCTAAATAAAAGTAGATCACAAACTTTACAAGTTTTCTGACAACTCAGAATAGTAAAACACACTTTTCTTCACAGCAATAAAGAAAAGCAAATAGTTTGTTCTAGGAGTTACCCATGATCTCCAGCACTTAAAAGTGTGAAATGTTGGGTAAATGCAACCGTTTAACTTCAATGGCACCTCAAATTTCTTCAAATAACACCTTTTCCTTCCTAAAAACTCTTTCATTCTGAGTCACAAACCCCAAAAAGGGAGTTAAATACCGAACCAATCTGAGATCCACCTAACAAATTAGGAAATACAAACTGCTTAAGACAACATATTGCCAGCCATCCGGCATTTTTCCAAATTACAAGGTATACAACGAGTATAGGGAAAACCATAATTATCAAACTCCATATCACATATTTTCCCCGTATCGATGGCACACCTTAAAAAACTAAGCTCTTCGAAAAGGGGGTTTGCGGTGGTAGAGGTGAAGATAATGCTCTAATTGCTAATTGAGATCGCGACAGATAGCTGAATTGTTAGAGTCATTATATGACAGTTATATAGGCATTTATGAACAAGGCTAGGCGAGGCAACTCTATCATATATGTATATAGTATATATATAGATATTGCCATCAATATTTTCTATTTTTCGATTTGCCAATCATAATGGGTGCGACACAGTATTTGGTATTCAAAGCACGCTTCTCCTTTGATGCAATTTGGTAATCTTAAAAGGGAAATCACTTAGCGGGAGTGTGTTTTTCTTTTTTTTCTCTTTTACCAGAATGAAGAGTGAAGTTTAAAAGCCGCCAGACCGGACCATTGAAATGCGGTAAAGCGAGGCGAAGATCCTCCTCCAAGATCGTTGTCAACGGTTCGGTTCTTGCGATAATCAAAAGACAAGTTGTAAAAATAAAAGCATAGATCGGCAGCTGGAGGAACGTGGAAAGTCTTTGGATTGCAGCAAGCAACACCCAGGGCAAGAAGTCTTGTTTATTTATGCATCGATAATGTGAGGACGAGTGCAGCTCGCTGGCTGGCTGGTGCAGCAGTCACGAAACTCTGTCGAGGAGGATGAGGATATATGTCTTCATTCAGACATAGAGTCAGTGCACCAATATTACCGCCTCAACATCATCATCATGATCGGCATAGGCCTCATCTGTGTATTGCCATTGAACTTCATCGAAGCGTGCCATAAATTGACGCCCGCCCGCTGACGTAGTCTGAAACAAAGTCTGGGATTGAAAAACAGCTTACGGGGCAGAAATGATCCACTGACGATGGCACTTAACAGACTCACAGCTCCAGGCCATCGATCAACTGAGAAGAAACTGGAAGAGAGTCTGCGGATCTAAGCAAGGCGAAGATATGAATACACTTTTAAGATGACTCTTAAAGAAAACTAAGATATAATGATGACTATGTTTAAGCCTTTACTAGTACCAAAAATATTTTAATTACACTAATGGTTATATATAAAGCCATACTAGATGTTGATTCCTAACATATGAAAGCTATATAAGGCATGGAAATGATGCGAAAATGTTAATAGCTTTTGGTAAGGGCAAAATTATGGTCTTAAGACTTATAAAAATTATTTGAAAACTAAAAATGTTGATTGGCATACAGAAAAATTTGTAAGAAAATCATATAAGTACTATAATCTTATATAGAGTCTAACTAATTTGAATTTTGATCAGAGTTCTAACACCAAACTGATTATAAGTAAAACGCTTACTAACTGTAAGAACGACTTGCTAACTCATTGCATGACACTGTCATATTCAATAATGAATGCTCTCCACCTACCTATGAGAGTATTAAAGCAAAACTTTCGCTCAGAGTGGGAATATCGAGCAAGTCGAAACGATCGGGCATTGGACGATCGACTATAACATTCCGGTTTCGTGGTTTCGGGAATGGTGGGGCAGTAACATTGACAGTAGATGAGAGAGAACGGAGCAGTGCCGACGAGCGGTTTCCGCAATTTGTCGTCGATGTTTTTTCATTTATATATATACTATATACTATATAGACATATAATTTGTATTGTATTTTTGCGCAGTCATGCCGCATGGACAACAATTTTGCGTTAGACAAACAAACACTCATGCTGAGATAAAGCTGGGAAGTAGTGCTGGTCTACCACTAGGCATTGCCATGGGGGAATTACCATTGAGAATTTCACATAATATTGAAATTCGACAAAACGTGCTCTTTCAACCCAAATCATGATTAAAAAACGAAGATTCTTTTCGGATTTGATAACCACACATAATTTAATATGGAGGGGAGACCCTATTTTTGTATCGCCTGACTTGATAATGCGCTTGTACCTATAAATTTGCATTATAATGAGGTCTGGCCCGGGAGTCGAAGGAAAAGTCAATAAACAAAGGGATTCACTGGGCTTATTGTCAACGAATGGCTTTATCTTTTTGTACGATAAGACCAGAAATTAAAAAAACTCCGTCTCTCAGCCAACAAAGAAACAGTTGCAGTTAGCCTCGAAGAAGCGCGTTTCAACATACCGAATATTGTATCAAGGATTGGCAAATACTTTTGGCATTGCTGAGATAAGAATCAATGTGATAAGCTATTGGGGAAAACACGTGCTGTTCATGGAAAACCAATCTAGCTATCGCTGGTACTTAATTAGCAATCTATAAAAGGCTTCAAAAAGTAAATCACAAAGTTGCTAGTTTTACAATTTATTTAATTATTTCTTTCACACTTCTGCAAACCCTCTTCAAAAACTTTTCACATAACATTCTAAATTACATTGTGATTTCTTGCTGTGCATTAGTTTTACCGCTTTCTAAACCTTATCTTTTGTGGTATGGCCAACTCGCCGGCGCTGATGACTCATTTCGGAGAGATAGATAGATATAGATAGGACCCTCGATGTCGGGGCGGCACTATTGATTGGGTTCGATCGTCGGTTATCTCGGTGGTCGGGACCAAGCGGAGCCGAAAGTCAAATGTGGAAAACACTTGTACCCCCTCAAGTTCACGACATGCCCACTCAGCCGCACACACACACGCGGGCGTAGAGTAAGAAAAATACAAGGGAACGAGCGTGTAGAACAGGTGCAGCTAATGGGCGAACAAGTACCGAACAAGCTACCCATTGGTACACTTGAAAAAATGTAATTAAAGTCTCTAATTTTCCCTAAGAAAAGTAGGTTTTTATGTATATTTAAACTTTAAGTAAAAGAAAATAATTGTTTTAAAAATTATGGCAAAAAGTAGGTTAAATTAAAAAAATTTTTGAAAAAATTTCAAAATTTTTACATCAAGGGTCTTTACCTTCTATAGATCTCTTATTAAGAACTTAAAAAAATCCTTCTAAGCAATCTAAGACGATTGATCTCTCTTAAGTTTTTTTCAAAAATTTAAGAACTCATTAAAATTGATGATAATTTCGATTTTTCAAAACTTCAAAAACATTTTCTCAAAGTGCTTTTCCATACGCAACGGAAGTTTTCTCCAGCATTTTCGCTCAGCCAATTGGCCTCTAATTGAGATTAATCGGTTTGCTTTGTGTGTAATAAACGGAATCGAATTGTATATACAACATATATGAGTATTCATTCATATATAATATAGATATATAGAAAATGCATAGGTCTGTGAGAGGCGTCAACGAATTGTCGCTCAGATCGTTTTATTTCACAACCAAACGCCTCAATTAAATTGTGTCAATGAGAATTGATTAAAGCCCAGAGATATGAGCGTAATTGATTCGCCGCTGCTAATGAGAAAAGTGAGAGAGAGCGTCTAAGTTTCAGCTGATCAAATAGCAGAATATATATAATATCTTGTTGACTATGAACTATGAACCTGATAGTTTGTTAGTTTATTTTCTCTACTTAAGGGAAAACATTTGAACTTGTGAAGTGAAGCTTTTAGAAATTCTAAGATCTTCATCAGTCAAGGAGTACATAAATAAAGTTATAATCACTTTTGGATGTTTTTATTTTCTATGTTCTGGAATTTGAAGATATCATCTATCACTGAGATAATGGCTTACCTCTTACAGTGCTATGTAAAGAGTTTTAGCTTTGATCTGTCTAAAGATGATTATTGAAGGATTTAGTATGTGAAAGTGAAGTCAAATCTTAAGGCTTTTAATTTTGGTGTCTAAGAAATGTTTTTAGTTTCTATTTTCTACTTAGATTGTAGGTTCCACAGTTTAAAAACCAATTTAAATAGCTATAGTTCTCAAACTTACAAACTGATTTGCTGTTGTTAACAAAAAAAATTTAACTAATCATTATTATTGAAAATGTTTCCTCATACGAAAACGACTGTTAACATTTGTCAATAATCACAATGAACAATCGCGTTTCGCGTTTGCTAGTTTAATGACGATGAAATTGCAAATTAGAGGAAGTGATTTGTATGCATAGTTAAAACCTGTTTGTTAGAGAACGAAAGTCTTCTGTTATTTTTTACAGCAACTAGTTTAACTTAGTCCAATTAGGGTTTATTTGTGTACTATATATATATAAACATATATATTAAAACCCTCTCTATATAGTAAAACCCAATAAGAGCAGCCGCAGGTTCCTGGATCTCTGGCTTTGGGCAGTCGAAATTGGCGCCTTCTACACTCTACTTGTGGAGTTTTTTTTGGGTGTTAATAAAAGGGGAACTAAACCAAAACCACGGGGCATTATGGTGTACCATGAACTACAGTTGGACTTAACTAAGTAAGAAAACTATAAGGGCTTTGGTTTGGACTTTAGTTGTCCAAAATTAAGAAAATTAAGTTTGTTTTTCAAGTTGAAGCTTAAAAACCTTTACATCCTTTTTGTTAAGTTTCACAAACTGAAGTTTGACTGTGATTATGGTTTTATTTTTTTTGGCTTTTGTTCTTTTGGATTTGGTTGTTATGGTAACAGAAGCAGCAGCACCAGCAGCAGCAACAGCAGCAGCGTCATGCTTGGTTTCAATAGAGACTAAAAACAGCTATTAATACTCCAGTCAGCCTGGACAAAGTTATCATTCATGTGCTGGCTGGGCTGGTTGGCAGCACTCAATTGCATCCGAGATTATGAGCAACGTGTTCGGGGCTTTGCTATTTTAAGGCGCATTTCGAATGATTGTTATTGCCCTCGGCCCTCGCCCGGCCACAAAATAATCCCAACACCCGGTACATTCTCACATACAAACATGTGTGTTTGAAGTGAAAATGGGGAATGGTAATGGGAATGAGAATCGTTGGGATGGTTATAGTATAGAGGAATGGGAATATGTCAATCTCCGGCACAATCCCCATGTCCATGTCGCCGCTTTCCTATGCAAAGCGTTTAATGCACATTTCAGGCCATTCCTAGGCACTTCTTTAATGTTTTTTTCTCTTTATTTTATTTTATTTTGTTTAAATTTTGTTTTGAGTTTCTGATTTTTTTTTTGTTTTTTTTTCTAACCGAATTAACTCACGTACTTTCAACCCGACTCCCATCAAGTGGTTTGGTGTGGTGTGGTGTTGTGCCTTCCATGAAGTGGAGGTGGAGGCCAAAAAGGGAAATGAAGTGCAGGGCAATGCAGCCAACCAAGTGAAATCCAAAACCAATCCCAGAAATGCTCTTGGGCAAAACTGGCCAATGGTTCCAGTTTCAATCCCTAAATGCTAATTCCACTTGGGTGTGCTGTCAAACAAGACACAAGTGTCTGACACACGATCTACAAGGAGGTATATAGGAGTAGGAGTAGGAGAAGGTCACTGAGAAAAATATAAGAAAAATAAACAAATATTTAAAAACCCCTTTAAAGTTGTTTGCTGGAACAACCAATTATCTTCAAGCTAAGATAAGTTTTTGGCGAAATCCTTGCCATTTTGAGGGATTATTATTTAACTTAAACTTGATTTGCTGTCTAATTATTTGATTAATCATTAAAGCTGGCAAATTTCTATGCTTACCATTCATTAAGTAAATCAAATCAGTAAATTCCTTAGAACAAAAGCCCAACAACAATTGAATTGAATTTTTTTCAATGAATTTTGAGCAACCAACTATCTACGAGTGGCTTGGAATTAAGCACTCCATTGCCATTTTGGCAGGCTTATCGGTCTGGTTTTTCGACTCTCTCGAGACTCGCAATTTCATATTTAGAGACCTTTGCACTAGGGGTATTTTATTGATTGCATAATCCTAGAAGGGGGTTGGGAGGAGGACGGTTGGGGTTGGGATGATATATCATTATATGATAATCACGTAATCAGCTTATAAACTGTTGATTCAATTGATAATCAAACTAAATGCAAATTCCGCCAGCAATTTTCCAGCTGAATGCATTTAGTTTTCATCTACTCAAACCCCACAAATCCCAAACACACACACACACAGGTGGTTCTTTTGTTTAACCCCTTTTTGCCAAATGCAACAGGTTATCTCGAGGGCAGTTAAATAGGAAAACTCAGTCAGACAGTCAGCTTTGTGTTTGCTGATGGAAATGCTTTGGAAACCTTAGCAACAACAACGACGGGCGGGCTATCAACCATCAACAGACATCAAGAAGCTGCTGCTTATTGCTGTCAATGAGGTCGCTTCTTTTTTTTTTTAATAATATAATCTGAAATTATGAACTATGCTTTGACTTGAATAAAGAAGTTTTAATTAATTCTGTCTCAAGAACCACTTTCCTTGCGGTTGCAAGAAAAGCCATCCAAGGACAGACATGAACTTGAAATTTTTGATTCAAGATTTGGTTATAATAGGTAAATAAGAATTTAACTCACATTAAATTACACTTTAAGTAAGATTTTTGAATATTAACTCGTTGGTTTTAATATGTTTTGAGTTTAAATTAACTCAGCATTATGAGTATATAAAATTTGATTTGTTTTAAGAGTTTTTGGAAGTTTAAATGACTTTCTCGTTTTTCATAAAAACACAACAACTTTTCCTAACATTAGTCGATCACTTTTGCACTTTAAAGCAATTTCCTAGACCTTCCTCATGTCCAAGTACTTTAACTGCAAAATTCCCTCCTGAAAAACCACGTAATCTTGCCATTCTGGCACCCGGATTCCCAGATTCAGGACGTCATCACCTGGAGGCCTTGAATTGCAGGAGGAAAAGAAAGGTGGGGGTTGGTGGGAAGTTTGAAAAAAAGCAACAGAGCCACAGCCAGAGCCAGAGAGCACATCATAAAAATGTGTAATTCAATTTGGTAAACATTTTCTGCTCCCTGTTGATGGTTAGATAAAAATAAACCAACATGAAAAATGCTGAAAACCTTTGGCAAAACTCAATTTGGTCCCGGGATCAGATCATCCGGCTATAGGAATGGGAAATTTATAGGATGGCATTCTGATGCAATGTTAATACACATGAAGAAATCTTTAAGTAGAAATCTCATAAGTAGAGATTAGCACTTGAATTTGATTTTATATATTTAAGGTCTCTTTCAAACTTAAGTTAAATTTTAGTTAATTTATATATTTTTTAAATACTTTTGAATCACTCAACACTTTCTTCACTTGTTAATCGAAACTTACAGCGAAACTTCTTGATGACTTGCTTTTTATTCCACTGCTAGTTATCACAGTTTAGAAAATTAATTGATGATCTGCTAATTTTAACACTTTTCCTTTAGGCAGCTCAGAATACACAGTAAAAAAAAAGGTTAACACACAGTATTGATACGCCGCACGAAATAACAAAAAAAACACAAAAATAACACAGGGAAAATAATAAAAAATAGCGTTGTGGCTCAGCTGTTGTTCTCTCTTTGGCCAGCAATAAAATATTTGAATTGCTGCTTCTGCTTTTGCTGTTAACAAACACAAAAACTCTTTCGCTGCTGCTGCTGCTGCTCTTTTCGTGGGTGTTCGTTTCACTGGGACAACACACTGACGGCGTTCGCTTCGTGTCCGTGGCCGTTTGTCCGTTTATCCGCTCGTTGGTGTGTTCACTGTTACGCGGCCAGCAGTCGACTTGCTGCTGTTGAACGGCTGCGGTCTGCTTTATAGCATTTCACGCTGGCAACGCAACTAAACGCAAAGCAAATCACCAGAGCGAGAGCGAGATGGTCGAAGAGAGAGTTGGCTAGCTCTACACGGGGAGAAATAAATGATAAGTTGCTTGTTGTATTTAGCAATTTTATTGTATTTATTTATTGTTTATTTTTGTTTCCTTTTATTTTATCTTAATATTTTAATTAACATCAACCACTTTAGGCATTTTTAGTATTAGATTTTTGGAGTTATACCCCTAAATATCTTTTCGTGTATTTCCGCGGAAAGAGTGTAAAATCACTCAGCTCTTCTCTTGATGCGTGGGCAGCAGCAGCAGCAACAGGATAGTTGATGCACCGCAAGTGCAGCAGGTAGGAGTCGCGGCAGAGTATGCGTTGCAGCAGCAGCATCATTTAGCCTTACCAATTAGCAGTTGCCGGGGCAGCGCGGGCCGTCTCTCTTTTTGGGCAGTCAGCCCCTTATCTTTATCTCTCCTTCTCGCACTCGCGGCAAGCCCGGCTCAACAGTGGGCTGCGTTTTGGCGAATGTTTACAGCATCATCATGACGGCGTCAAACTCGGTCTGTTAAAAAAGCCGGCAGATCTGTTCAGAGAGATCAGCACACTGGAGAAAAATAACTCGAGTTTGATGGGATATTATATGAGTTTTCGTAAAATGAAACAATAGTTTTGGAAATATGTTATCCTAATACTAATGTATGTAAACTAGATCTATATACTCCCATGCCCCCAATTTTTAGATACTTCCTCAGATTATAAGACTTAAAAAAGAAGATCAAGTGATGAGTAAAAAATGTGTAATGTTTGTTTTTCAAATGATTCACTCTTCAGACATGACCAGCGAATATCAAATACATATTGAGAAGTTTTTTATCTGTATAGAGAAATCTCTAGAGAGAGAGACAGAGAGAGGGAATCCGGTGGGTGGGATCTTGTATTGAGCCGCTCTGCGGGCCAACTGTTGCCACTTGCCGGCCACACAGCAAGTTCAAAGGTTGCAGGTCAGGTAGGTAGTGGCCGCTAATTGCTCGAGATACAACTATCAATACACTGAGAAAAACTTTACATTTTAAAAATAAGAAAAGTAAATAAGAATAACAATACAAAATTTACCGTAATCTTTAAAGTAACTTTTGATTTGGTTCTTATTTTAATTTCTACATTAAAATGTGGTCTTTTATAAGGATATTTTCTAACTGTGTAACCAAATTGGTTTGCCGAGCGCCGGTATCTTAGATCCTGATCCTGACTTACCGACAAATTAGGTATCGAAACCTTAGATTATACCTAGGGGTTAACCACAGTTAACGATCGTAAAACCACTCATAAAATTAAAATAATTACCTAATTTTCTTTTTGGAAATTTTTCTTTAACGACACCTTATGTCCTTTTTGCTTTTAAAACTGCAATAAACTAATTTTGTAAACGATCATTCCTGTACCTGCAGCACTATCAGTTACGAAAGAAATCCTAGCTTTTTGGCCATACATCAATTAGTAATGAGCCATTCATCATTCGTCTATCCTTTCGGCTGTGGCATATCATCATTGCCAGCGAATCAATTGAACTGACTCATGAGGCTATTTTGAGTTTCGATAAATGGTTCCACTGTGCAGCCCACTAGGTCTCTCTCTACCTTGCTCTCTCAATGAACTCCCCCACTAACTCTCCCCACATGCAAACTCCTTGGAAACGGTAAAGTAAGTCGTTTGGTCCAACATAAAACCTAACGCCCATGTCTGTCACACACCATTCCAATCAAAGTTATTTACAAAATGCACTGCGGGAAAATATGTTAGAATTAGATTATGTTGTTTTTATTGTATTGATGTATTACAAAACTATTTACTACATCAGATACGAAAAATAAACCCAAAATAATATGACAACAATTTAAATATCCCTCTACTGACTCAAAGTTTCCCCTAATTTCTCGCAATGTACTGCCCTCATGACATTGTGGGAGCAACATTACCGTGCTCTTTCCCATTTTTTGCAACAGGTGGTTTGTGGTTTGGCAGGCACTCCACACCGACACTCCGCCACTGGCATTCCGGCTGCCTCGGTTTTGTTGGCCAAAGCAATTACAATGCTCCCGCCGGAGATAAATAGGCAAACAAATCGAAAACGAATCTCTGCAATTATAGCTAAATTAATACATGCTATATATTTGTATATACATTATATATTATAATATATATATATGATATCTTCATATATGAAAAATATATATACGTGTACGTGCGCTTGAAAATCGAGTACATTATCATTTCATTCGGCCGCATTGCAATGATGATAATGATGATGAGACATCGCCCAGCATAGGATAGGAAATTCGCTGTTAGCTGGATGACTGGTGGTTCTTGATTTTTTTTAACAAATACTCGTTTGGGCCCGGTTTGGATACGGCAGTATCTTTTTTTGCCGTTTGCGTGTATATCGTTATTTGTTTTAATTTCCCTTGATGTTTTTATTACCTCAAGAAGAGGCTTCCTTCCATGCGTGTTGTATTAAGAAAACATATTATTCTAACCCCTGATTGGGTGAAAGTTTCTAACGTAACTAATTATTATTATTGTTAGCTACCGCCAAAATAGCTTTTAACTTAGGTATCACGTGTTGTCTAGTAGTTGTTACGAGTATTTACTTGTTTAACTTCAATCACGTTTAATTTCCTCCCCCCTAGTATATTTTTGATAAGAAAAGCCATTCTATCAACAATAACAAATCAGCTGAAAAGTTAGCATATACATACATAGATTAAAATAAAATTGATTTCATTACTCTGTGAAATTCTCTTTTTAATAAGAAGAAAAAAGAAAAATAATATAGAAATTTGATAGTTCGACTTGTAATAAATAAATCATCAACTTGTTGCTTGTTGTTATGAAAATTTCTATCATTTTTGATATTATGAGGTTTGATTATGTGTTTGGTGACGTAATTCATAAAAATTTAGAAGCTTCGCGAGTTCAATGCTAGGAATTATCAACTGATAATAAACACATTCCCAGCAAACTGTAATTAAATTCGGAATGAGCAGAGCAAGCCCGCCTAGTTAGACTTACGAGGTGTGTTCAAAAAGTAAGGTGACTCTTCAAATTTCGCGAATTTCAAATTTTTCGATTATCGATTTTTTTGTTTTGTTATATTGGTACACTCTTCCCTAACATCTGTACCAAGTTTCAATGGAACATCCTCTTTTGTTTGGTTGTGAGAGGCGTAAAGTTACAAGTTATTTTGCGAGCTCGGCGATTTTTTGCTATCGAAAAATATGGATCAAAGGATTTGGATTTTTTGGCCAAAAACAACACCACAATAATGCCTCAGCCACCATATTCACCGGATTTGGCCCCATGTGACTTTTTCTTGTTCCCAAAACTGAAGATAATCGAAAAATTTGAAAAATTTAAAATTTGAAAAGTCACCTTACTTTTTGAACACACCTCGTATAACTTCTAAAAGGTTTCGATAATCGAAAAATTTGAAATTCGCGAAATTTGAAGAGTCACCTTACTTTTTGAACACACCTCGTACTTATTCTCTTTGCTGGGGTAAATATTAGCAATTAGATTAGACTACTAGCAAAAACCCCCAAAACAAAGCAAAAAAAAAAAACGAACTGCAAAACGATAAACTTAAGTACTATTAGAAAATATGGCTCTACAATCTGAATTTCTCAGACTTTAAATATTTACAACCGTAATTAGTGTAGGGAGAAACTTTGGCCTACACAAAAATGCGTCACTCAAAAGCCAGAAAGTCAAACAGAGTTTTTTATTCTAGGCAACCGTGATTGTTAATATTCGTTTCGAAATTGAATCACTCTTTAATTGACTTATAATTACTGGCAATTTTTTTTTTTTTGGTTCTTATAAATGGATGAATAAGAAGCCTCTTGAATTTGAATTTCTTACTTGATTTGAGTTTTCCCACTTGTTAATTTTTTAACAAAGTAAAATAATTATTATAAATATAATAAAATATTATTTAAATGTAATATATACTAGTCATATCATACCAAGTATGTCATTGACTGACTAAAATTTTGTGATTAGAAGACAAATATTTTAACGTCACTAACGATGACGCTGAATATTTGCCTTTGATTGGCCAAAAATGATCCGTCATTAATGGGGAAATGAAAAGTGGATTGCTTGCCCTGTCGTGATACCATAATATAGGAAAAAAGGAAGATATTAACACTAAAACATTTTATTTAATCTAATAAATGAGACTTCACAAACAAATCAATTGAGATGGCGCCCTGAGGCATGACTTGAACTGATTTTAATTGGAATTCTACAAGTCCGTTTCAAAGTAATATCGCCAAGTGCACTTCAAACAATGACCGTAATTTATTTATAAAATATATGTAAAATAAAAAGTGAACATAAAATTGTTAGGAAGTTAGGAGATCAAAAAGTTATCCTTTCTTTTATCAAATTTAAATAGAGAATAAAACTGAATTACTCAATTATAAAGTCAACTTTTTGATATAAAATCTCGATATGTATAACATATATACATATAATATCTCTAAAAAAATATATATTCATTACTTATAAATATGTTAAATTCCACTGAAATTGATATCTTAAAGTTTGTAATGAATTTAAGGCATTCGTTATGATATTCCCCCTGCAGTCATAATATTTTCACACTGCCGGCAACTGAATACCAAGAGCAGCCGATACACTCCAATTTCACCAGGCATTTATGCATATATTAACACCAATTGTCATATGAATAGAACCAAAGTTTAAGTCTGAAATGTGATTTCGTTTCTTATAAATAACTTAACGATTAATTTATACAAATTTTAGTAAATTGCGGATGGGAAAGATGGTTTATCATAAATAAATCATTTAAAATTGTCTAAAAATTACGATCTTTTTGGGCTTATGGGTCTGATAATCTGATCATTTTTTGGTTAAAAAGTGCTTAAAAACTGCATAAAATGTTTAGAGTTTTCAAAAGTTTTTAAATATTTGTAAACTTTTGCAATCGTTCAAAGTTTCAAAGAGTTTCTTAGACACCGAAATTTGATTTCCCCTTAAAAGATTTTTCCCTTTAAACAAGCAAATATTTAATTTTGCTATATTTTTGTACAATGACTGTATCCACAATAGCAGCAACATGTTTGTGACGTCCAAACACCACATCGATGGGGCGGGCTGTTGGTGCTGTCTTTTACTTTTGGAATCAACATATTTGCGGTTAGTTTATTGACCGAGTTCGGGCTGTCGTCCAATCGTCCAGTCGTCGGCATATTAACCGGTTCTCTTGCACCCCGAGATCATACTGAGAATACGAGTGATACACCGATACCGATGCTGAGGGTCCAATGCATAATTTTAAAGAGAAAGAGATGGAGAGAAGGGGTAAGAGTTGGCAACTAATTTCGCCACATTGTCACACACTTGGCGACGTTTCAGTTGGAGCTGTGGAGTACTCCAAACCATTCCACTACCAAGGTAGCCCCCTACTATCCAATTACCAGAGATTGTACATGTGACACATCGATGGGGCGGTAAAGAAACAATATTACCATTTGTCTTTGATTGTCAAGCAGGAAACTAATAATTTTTAGATAAAATCATGTTAGAATGTTAGATTTTAGATTACTTCAAGTAAGCAATACTATATATTCCGTTTATCTAAGCTTTATCTTAAATTTTAGAAATGTTAGATACATTTTTAGATATCCCCATTAACAGCTAATAAAACAAAAGTGTTTTACATACCATATTGTAATCAAATCGATTTTTAATTTGATGTGTTTCATATTAGGGTGATGCACAACCAACCTATGGTAAATTTATAAAAAAAAGTTAAAAAATTAGAATCAATTCTCAATTAATAGGCAATCGTATAATAGTTGCCCAAAGACATGGGTTCAAAATCTTTAACAAAATACAAATAACCTCAACAATTAGTAATATTTCTTAAATTACCGTTAATTTTAAAGAAAAACTGATCTGGCAACCATCAAGTTAAAGCTAACAGCAAAGACACGAACCGCCAAAAGGTCTGGTAATATTGCAATTGCTAAGCAGCCATGGCATAAACCAATTATTTTTCATTTCAAGCAATCTATGGTAAAAATCGTTTAAAAAGTTTATAAAAACCATGATGTCAATGTGAAAAACATCACAAAAAATGCTGAATCAAGCATTTACTTTAATAATTACTGTGCCAGCCAGAATTTGTTAATCAAAATTGCCATGTTTTTTACCTCGAAGTATACTGCCTATTCCAGGTTTCCAATAAGAATATTTCAAATCGCTCCAATGTGCACTAGCTAAAATGTAAACATTTTATTGTTTCCAGTTTCGGTCTTACATACTTTTTTGTTTAATCTAGTTTTCTTTTTTTTTTTACTGTTCTCGTGAATTTTCTGTTAACTTTTTGCTGTTTTAATTTTAGTTTAAAAATGTGTTAAGTCTAACTTGTATTCTAACTTGCACTTGTTTTTTATTTTTTTTTTTATATATTTTGGGAATTTAAAGAATACAGTCGAACTTCTATAACACGAACCACCATCATCTGTCATCAAAAAAAAAAGTTCGATCTGTGGTTATAGAATAAAAATGTTCTTGCCAATAATTTTAGTTCGACTTAGTGAGTATTATTCGAGCTAGGGAAGGTTGAGTTATGGAAGCTTGACTGTAGTGATATATTTTTTTGTCATTCGTATTTTTATGAATATCTGCGATCCATTCTCTCTGAAAACTATACTCTTTTCAAATATCTTTTCTTTAACGCTCTTTATATTCGACTTTCGTTGCTGTTGACACTCTTCTGTTCTGTTTGTTTTTTTTTTTGTTTTTCATTTAAAAATAGTTAACTTTATACTTGTGTTTAACATTATCATACAATTTTTTAGCTTATGTGTGTGGTTTTTCTTTTTTCAAATTATGTTAGCTTTTTGTTTTGGTTTTGTTTAAGATAAGTTATGCTCGTTTTTGCCTTTAAGTCCAGTACTCAGATAGAAAAACCAATCTTTGCTAGCGAAAAGTTGTCCTATTATTGCTTTAGGGTCAAAAGTGTCAAAGTGTTAAAGTGTTAAAATGAATCCGCAATTTATCACTGAAGGAAAAACACTGGCTCTGAAACGGGCATAAAAGTGCTACAAATATGTGCATAGCCATATATGCGAACAGTTGCCAATATTATTTATTATTTTCCATATTGCAAAAGCGAATTTCGAAGATTCAAAATTGAAATTGAAGTTTCATTTCATTTTTTTCAGCTTGAACTTCAAATTAACTACACTACCATTGTTATTTAGGATTTAAATATCTTTACTCTCAATGCTTTATAACATTCTAGACAACAAACCCTTTTTGATTTCCATTTGTATTGCCAATTAACTTTACAAAGTTAAAATTAATATTTGGCGCCTACTATATATCGAAGCACCCGTATTTTTATATTGAAGCACCGTTTTTTTTTTAGCTGCTGAGTGTAACCAGCAGGAAAGACTTGATGAAATCGGTGTGTTAGCTATTTGGCATCTATATATATTATTTGTTATGTTTTTTTCTTACTAATGGCTAGCAAATATTTTTCTTCCCCTCCTCTGTGTACTGTGCCTAATCGTGTTTGGCACTGCATATGCATATATCTTCTTAAAATGCAATCAGTGTTTTGTTTGTGTTTTAGTTTCTTGGTTATTTGCAGAGTGCAATTCGATAAATTTAGCAAGTATTCTTTGTTTTTTTTTAATAGTATTCTTTTCTCACAACTGTGTGTGTGTGTGTGTGTGTTGTAACTGTGTGTGAGTTAGTGTGTTTATTTTGTTTTTGCATTCAATTTTGACGGCTTTGTTAGTATTTATGAATTTATTGTGCGATCATTTTTCATTGAAATGACATTTTCATTTTGTTTGTATTGAAGTTTACTTTCTTACCGGGAACAATTTTCACAATTCACTTTTGTTGTCGTTCAATTTGCATTTGTTCTGTCTTGGTTTAGCATATTGCTAATCCTTTTTATATCATAGCAACACATTTGTATACAGTTCTGCGTTTGTTTAAAAACGCTTCTATAGCTTTTGGGATTGAAATTTCTGAAAAATAAACCGAAAATGAAAACTTGAAATTATACAACCAAAATGGGTTGAGGCAATAATTGAAACATTACATACAGACTATTTAAGTACTAAATTTAATATGTTTAACAATAGTATGAAGCTGTATACATATGTATATCCTTCGAGTCGGTTTAATGGAAGTTGGAGTTGGTGGTTGGAAGGTGTATTGCATCTACAAGGGATACGCGATTTAGATATAGAAACCTCTGCTTTTTTTTTTTGGTGTTGTATCTAATGGGCAAAAATCAATGTACACGGCAACGTACATCATTTTGATGCCCAGATATAGTTATTGTTATTATCCCGACATTACTTTAGTTTTGTTTTTTTTGGTTTTTGTTTTGGTTTTTTGTTTTCTGTTTTTTTTTTTATACAAAATGCATTCACATACGTACATACGTTACTATCTCAATTAATTATAATATTTTATAACCATCAGACACATCTTTAAAAATATAAAAAATGTTAAATAGCAAAACTCTTTGACTGTCAAAGTATTTCAGTTTGAAAAGCTTAGGTTCTCGGTTTGTTGTTGTTGTTGTTGAATTCATTTTGCTTTGTTCCTAATATTTTGATTGGCTTCAATATATACTTCACAATAAACCACAAAAAACTTCTGTAGCCTGTCACATTCTGCTCTTCTTGTTTTTTGTTTCCCACTGCATTGCATTTTCTCGCTTACGGGAACTGCAAATAAAATATGATGTAGTTAAGTTTTCATACTCTTTTAACACAAACTTACAATGAAATGTGGTGCTGAAAATAAGACAGCAAGTGTTGCGATAATAGTAAATAAAGTGAAAATAATAAGGCACAAACGATCGACGACCATGGCAGCAAACTTCCAATCTCGTGTTATGTCGCTTGTCTCGTCCTCTTTTTTTAGCTAAGAGTGGTAAATAGATTTATGTCAATACATCTTCTCAAATTTTTCAAACAATATCAATAGTCATGACAGATATTGCATTATGTAATACAACATCCCGTTACCTGTTCTGTTATCCAACGCAGTTCTTTAAGTATCAGCGCCAGTTCGTATTCTGCTGAGGAGGTCAGACAGGTGTGGGAAATGGCTTCGTGCAATCGCCCATCGACAACAGGACCAGCTGGTCCCACGGGTCCCACGCTGCCGTCATCCCCTTGCCTGTGAAGGTGTTTTCATAGCGATTACAAAATGGCAAATTTTGACTATCTGCTGAGGGGTCACTTTAAGGATACTTTTCAATGGGATGGTTAGCTATGGTCTAAGGTTATAGCTCGAAATATGTATAGAAGGACAACCTAATAAACATCTTAGTAATTCAAAGCCCTAGATATTTTATAACTTCTCCTTAAACACAAAAACAGTAACTACCTATGAGCATTAAATTGTTAAAATTTAATACTTTAAATGAGATATTAGCAAGATTAAAGAGCTTAGAAGTTGCGATTAAACGATGCATCAGCTTTCATAAATGTGAGACTGTTTTACTACCCTAACACGTTATAGCACTTAACAAAAACTTCTCACTTAGCTTAACTTTCGTTGATTGTGGGTGTCTCTGTGTAAAATGTAATTGAATTTTTCACAGGCTGTGTGCTATGTTGTGCCGTGCACATGTGCTGCTGATTCATCGTCTAAGTGCAGTTTAAGTTTGTGATAATGCTACTTGAGATACTTACCTGTACATCGTCCTGTAATAGGTCGGCTGGTGAGGCAAAGTGGCACTGGCACAGCGATGATTACATCGAAAATCATCGTCTATATCGAGAACATTGGCCAGCAGAGACTTGGACGATCTGTATTTGTTTTTTGTTTGAATTGGTATTGTAAAATTTTTTTTTTTTTTTTTTTTTTTTAGAGTCATTAAAGTTAACTGGGCAAAATGGTGGTAGGGAGTTGGGAGTTGTAAATACTTAATAAAGTAGACTGGCTGTGTGTTTACCTCTCCTTGAGCTCAACGTTTTGAATCTGTTGCTTTTTCTCGCCAGAATTAGATGAACTCGACGAAGAGGGCGGCGGCGGACATTCGTAGCCAACCTGTCCGGGTCTTTGCATGCGCAATATGCAAGGTAACCAATAAAGGAATATTACTCTTATCTGTGTGTGCGAGTTCGACAGAGAGACGGAGTGTAGTTGGGTAATGCGTTTAAAAATAATAGCAATACGAATTTTTAGTATTTTTTTTTTAATATGAAGGCCGTTTAGGTTTATGGTTTTTTTTTCATTTTTTTTTCGTTTTTTATTTTTTATTAATTTGATGATTAGTGTTTTAATTTTTTTTTGTTTTTATCGTTGTTATCTCAGGTGCGTTTTTCGTTTTGTGTGTTTTGTAATGACACGTTAGGTGAACAGAATTTAAATTTGAAAAATTTTGTTAAATTTGCATGAAAACGATGATGATGAACGGAATGAAAGTTGTTGGTTTTTTTTTTAGTTTCAAGATTATTTAACAGTTCGTCGTACAAGTATTTAATTGATCATTTTTTAAAAAACATTTTATGTTAAATTTTTTGTTGGGGGAAAGGCGATTATGAGTGTGTACGATTGGGAAAGTTTTTTTTTATATATATATTTTTGGTTGTTTTGTAGTTGTTTTTGGACAATCGTGCAATTGTCGTCGTTGTTGGTGGTCGCCATGTTGATATATATTTCAATATTATTAATTTTTTTTTGTTGTTTTTTTTTTTTTGTTGTTAATTATTAGTTAAATAGTAACAGAGAGATAGATAGAGAGATACACATGTAGAAAGAGGAAGATATATATATTTATATATAGAGAGAGAGAAACAATTGAAGAGGCAATTGAGTTGAGTTATTTGCGTTGAAAGTAGTTGAGTTGCCGGTTTGCGTAGTTGTAGTTGTTGGCCAGAGTTTTTGTTGAAAAATAAACATTTTTGTGTGATTATTGATGCTGTTGTTGGTAGACGATTTCTTAAGTATGTTAGTTAGTATGCGTATTAAGAAAAAAAAAATACAAAACAAAATCGAAACAAAAATCATGGAATCAAGGAATATGAATGAACATTAGATTCTCTTTTTATAGTACTATCAATTTGTAGTCTTAGTTTACTAATAATGATTAAGTAATGGCTTCAGAACTCTACTTTCATTCTTATTTCATGATCTCTACATTACGATAACTTTTAATTAGTAGAAAAGTTATTGTATATATATTTTTGGGCCTTAAAATGAGAAGCCCATATATGAAGGTTAAATGGTCTTTCATGGTTGGTTAGTTTGTTTTGAGGAGGATTTAATGCTTAAGAGTTTTAAACTAAATGGTTTTAATGTTTATCGAAAACTGTCCAATTATTACTTGTATTCCATTAGGCAGAGTTGGGTTTTCTTTTGTTTGCAAATAAAAAGAAAGACCTTGCCACCTGCATTATTATTATGAAAAAGAAGTGAAGGAGAGATTGTGTATTACTGTACTAAAAAATTACATTTCAAATATAAAATAAAAACTAAATAACAGGTAAAAATATCACTCAACAAATTAATAGATGGTTTCTGCTGCTTCCAAAAATATTTTTGATTAAAAAAAATCGTTAGAAATTGGAAAAACATCCTGAAGTGTTGCTATGTCAGTACTTAAAGTCTAACAAGGTACAAGCATACCTGTATTTTATTTTAATATCAACTTCCCGCCGAATACTACTTCCTTTGATTAATCAGTTTTCTATGATTATTAACAAAATCTTCATGTAAATGGTGTTTCAGATGTGGGATAGCATTAAATCTTGAAAGTCTTGAAAAACGAAGCGAAGTTATTGAGGAAACGTTAAGATTGCCAAGTCGTTTTCTAAATCAACAGACTAGGAAGTCTGATCTTTAAACAGATAACTAAATTATACAACTTTGTAAAAACTTTTTTGTGTTGAAATCTACTCAAATTAATGTAAATTATTTGTCTATATATAATATAGATAATTATTAAAAGCAGGGGCCTAAGCTATGACTCCCATTCGTTTTTGTAGATGCTTTTCAACCCACCAAATTTTTTGTTTTCCTCTTTCCGTCTCACCAACTAAAATATAATTTGTTCTTGTTTCTTCCAGATAATCCTCGTACACTTGCACTGCATTTAACTCCTTATAACTTCTGTTTGCACTTTGGAGTTTATTTCACATTGGATCATTGGCGGATCAGTAAAATGAGTGATGAACTGGTTAGCAAAAAAAGGGATTTTCTTTCTCTCAGTGCACAGCTAAAAACCAACACAAAAGCGTAACTAAATATGTGCACGCTTTCTTGGATTTGCGTAAGTAACTGCCGTAAGACAACTATGAGGAACCCGGATTAAAAGGTAAGTAAACGTTTTGGAAAACTTTCATGGATTTATACTACGCTAATAGGGACTGGCTGTTTTTCAAAATCGAAACAGTCCAGTTTAGCTGGAGGAAAGATCTGTCTTTTATTTTAAATATTTATTATTTGCAAATTATATTTTTGTTTGTTATTAATAAGAATGCAATTCTGTGGATATCGAACCATAATCGACTAAAATTGTATGTGCACTTTTTTAGACAGGTTATAAACGTAGTCATAAGCTGATTTTTTTTTTGTTTTAATGATGTGAATTTTTATGCAGATTAGTTTAAAACTCTTAAGTAAATAAATTAGTGTCTGTATTTTTGTTTATAAATGTGTTTGTGAACACATTTATGGAAAGGATTATCTTTTCTTACAATTAAAGAGGCAGTTGAGTAGGATTTTGTAGAAGAAATATGTATACAAAGATGGGGAAAATCGATTCTGGTCTCTCATGCTTTGGCTTGAGTATATAACTTGCAAGTCATATCTGGATATATTTGAGGTGAATATTGGATTTGGTGTTGGTGTGTGAATTGAGTTTATTATTATTTAGTTTGAGGTTTTGTTTCGGGTGTTTTCTTTTAGTATGAGCGAAAAATATGGGTTAATGCAAATTTATGTTTTTATTATTTGGTATCCTAGATATTTACAATTAAATTGGTTTAAAATGATTCGTTTATTTTGGTAAGCCAAAACACATTTGTTAACAAACAATAAATATACAAATGTTCAGCAGTGGAATAATGCAAAAAATTTCAAACATATAATCTCAGAGTATGTCGTGATCAATATAATGTGGAAAGAAAATTATATTTCGTTTTTTTTGTTTTCTTTCTTTTTAAAAAAAAATTTTTTTTTTTTGTTTTTTTTATACAATGAAAGTAGTAAAGTTTAATTTGAATATAAAAATATTACCCATTCACTCATTTCATGCGTATCTGGATTTCTATGATGATAATTGAGGATAAGTATGGTTGACACAACTGATGAGGCCACCATAAACATAATGCAATTGAAATAAGTTCCTAGAAGGACACAAAAATTACACAAACTTGTAAAAAGTATTCGATTTTGTTGTTAACATTGTTGTTTTTTGTTTTTGTTTCTTAACCTAAAACCTAATCGATCACGCATTTTGACAAATTTTTAAAGTGTAGATGTGTTTTTGTGTAGGCTAAAGTGCTTTTTTATTGTTCGTTTTCTTTCTCTTCTTCATCTAGCTGTATCCATTTCTGTGATTGGCAAAAAGCTATAACCAAAAGTCTTGATAAAATGGGCGTATATTAAGCATCTAAAATTCTCAATCTCTTTTTTGGGTAAAAAATGTGTGTAAGATATTAACAGATGGTTGTGTTGATTTTTTGACTTGACTTTTTTAAAGTTTACTTCATTTAGGGCACTTGAAAAATCTTTAAAGTTATTTAAGTTTTTTTGTAAAAAAAATATTTTGAATATTTAGAAGTAAAAAACTTGAATTTTACAATTACTAGTAGACAATAAGAACCCTTAGGGCATCAAAATATTATTTCTTAATCAGCAAAATGTGATTTTATTAATGTAAATAACGTAATGCAAAACTATACCATGATTTCTTAGTCATGGCTTAACAAATCGCTTTAAAATTGAGAAACATTGAAATATATTTTATAAAAAGGAAAGGAGTCTCCACATTTTTGTTACCAAACAGAAACTGAATCAAGGCTAAATATATTTATTTTTTATATGTATATATTTTCAACAAAAAGCAAAACGCACATTTTCATTTGAAGTGAAAAAGGAAAACACTGAAATATTTAGTAAAGTCCTAGCCACCTGCTGGGTGCGTGTGTGTGTGTGTGTGTAGTATTACCCACTCTAAAAATCTCTGAGTGTCGCGGGAAAAATAAAATGTGAAAGGAATATGTAGCGTAGGTGAATACAAAACAACTTTATCAAGGTCTATATATATATAAATATAGAAATATATATATATATATATTCTTAACGACGACCCCTTAAAGCTCATTTTTGTACACATCGATTACATTGAGACCACGGGGGGAGTAACTTTTGTGTTTGCTCTGGCAAAGTAAAGTCAAGGAAATGCGAATTCGTAAACGATACTCTCGGGATGGAGAAAGAAAAAAAAATAGAAGAAAAACCCTTGGCTGTGGGTGGGCTGACATTTCCCTTTGAATTAAAACTTAGGCATGTAGGCGGAATATTAAACAAGGTGGCGGCTACATTCCAAAGAGATTGCTCAAGATTCAAATTAACCAAAAAAAAAAAAAAAAAAAAAAGAGAGATAGAACGCCCGTCTCATGGCATAACCAACCGAAAACTCATCAGTGGCTGACAAACCCAAAATTGAGTTCCAAGTATTTGTAGTATCTATATATCTATATAGTTCTAAGCTATAGCTTTCAATCTCAGGGTTAGAGAGTGATGTCAACCATTTCACTTTTTTGACTTCTTCTTTTTTGCTTTCGTCATTTCACGTGTACAACCAATTATCCGCAATCATCATTTTATTTTAAAAATCGAGATCTAATTGGTAATTTTCTTAATCGTTGAGGGAGAGTTTTTAGACTTATGAATATATATATTTTCTTTTTTTAACTTTGTCGTTACCATGTTGGTAAATTTTTTGGTATGTTTTTTGTTTTGTAAATTAATGGTGGGAATTTAGATTTTGGATGGCGGCTTATATGAGGTTTATTAGAATGATATATTAATTACATTTTTATTGGCTTAATTTAAGCGTTTGGATTAATATTATAATGTTTGGATTTGGTTTTTTTTTTATTATAATGCGCTTTGATGGAAAAAACAAAAAAAAAATTAATGTGAATGGTTTGCTAGAAAATTATGCTGTAGGTTTTTCTACTTTTCTTATTTTGTTTTTAGTTTTTGCAGTCTACAGTTTTTTACTCGCCATATATATGTATATGTTAATCAGAAAATAAATTGCCATATTTTGTATTTTGAAGCGGCCTGATTTATCATTATGTTAGTTCTTAGTTAGTGGTTTAACGAACATGAGAATTTAACGCTCTCAAAGGGCGTACAATTTTGTCTAAATATGTTTCTTGGGGCACACACGTTCCGCTAAGCGTATGAATTGCAAATATTCTTTCAAGTATACTTAAAAACTAAAAATATATTTTTCTTCTAAAATATGCAAAAATTTGCTAAGATACAACAACAAAAAAATACTTCTTTTTGGCATAGTTTTCAAATATTTTTGTTGCCGAATTTGTAATTTTTGGAAACAAAAGAATAATGGTGCTCAATTGTGAACAAAAGGTACAAATTTTTGTTGTAAATTTGAATATGTTTTTTAGTTCTGATAATCCATTTTATTTTAAAAATAAATAAATAAAAGAAGCAGAGCTGGAAAACCATCGATGGTGTTTTTTTTTCATAGTAATTTGTTGTTTTTTTCCCAAGTTTTTTTGTTTTTTAGAACCATCGATTGTTTTTTATGTAACTAATTACTTTTTAAGAAAGCAGCAAATAAGCAAGTTAGCAATTTTTTTTTTAAATATAAAAGTACTTGATTATTATTTGGGCTAAAAAGAGCGAAGAGATTAAGATTGACCTATCATGTCATCATCATCAAGAAATATCAGTAACTTATCGACAGTTTACACTCTTACCAAAGGAAAACTATCTATTAGTAAGACGAAAGTTCTTAGTTTTGTTAACTAATTTTCAATATTAACGAGAAAGAATGCTATAGTCGAGCTCTCTGACTGTAAAATACCCGCTACTCATTGTAGTAAGACAAAAATTATATGTTATCCCTTCATTTATTAAAGTCGTTCTAATAATTTATAATCATTTTTGGACATATTCAACTTGGCACCAGAAATTTAAAGAAAGTTCGATAGGAAACTATAAAAAAAATCGATGTTTTCCCAGCTCTACAGGGAAACAAATATACTTATAAGTTTATATGCCCGTATTCATTAATATAATTCCCTAATGTATATAATTTTTGAGATTAATAGAGATGTTACGCAAAAAGGTTGGCAGAATTCCAATACCAGTTCATAGGTAAAGCAATAATAAAATAATTACTTTAACTTTGTTAATTTCTGTTATTTATCTGGGAGAATTATATATTATATATGATATTTGGTGTTTTATTTACAAGTGTTAGGGAAATTCTTCTATGGCCTATATGGTGTAGATAATACTTTTGTGAGAATTTTCGTTCTTGCTTTACCACACTACTTTGTAAATTAAGTACATAATTAAGATTGTAAATAAAATTGAGTAGGCAACATAAATACTTAATGAAAAAAGATACTACATATGTAATTATCATAAATAAATAATAAATGGGTATAGTCGATAGTGCCGCCTATAAGATACCCGCTTCTCAATGTCCTTCTGTCTATACTATATCATGTGACCTTATTGTAATGAACGAGACTCTTTAAGTCATACGAGCCTATCCAGATTATCTGGATTACTGATCAAATAATATATATATATGTACTTTAATAAGATGAGAAATCTGTTATATAGAGGTAGGCTCTATAAATGGGTAAAGTATAGTAAAAAAAATTAAAAACTAAAACTCTTTCCTAAACATTATATATTTTGTTTGCTTATTACAAATCTGTGTTTTTTGACCAGAAAATGTCTACAAAAGTTGATCAGTCATGTAAAAATAATGTATTTTTTAAAATATATCGATAATTAATCGATTGTTTACATAGATTGTGTTGCCTTTCGACATATTTAACACATTTAACATACAGCTCAACACATAACATACATTTTACATTTTGTATACACACACAGATACTACAGTTTGGAATATGTTGAAAATATGTTCACGGAGAATAGGGAAGGGCAACATCTTAATAAGTACGACATGATGAGATCGTCAGAAATGTTAAGATGCTGGATGTTGAATTAAAATCTTAAAGTCTCATATATAAGCATGCTCTCTCTTGCCATTGTTAAAAACCGTCGAGAGTTAGTCGGCGAAACAGCTATATAGGTTTTAACGGAAAACACAGCAAACCAACAACAAAACAGATATCTCAACAAAAATACCTTGGGATTATCTTCTTTTTCTTCTCCTTTTTGTGAAGTGGCTTGAGAAAATGAAATTCTCTGAATGTGTGTACGACAAGCTGAAAACTCCAGTATTGTCAGCGCTTAGGTATTGAAATGCAATGTAATGTTAAGAACAAGATTTATTGAGCACATGAAGCACTTAAGAGTGGTTGAATGATTCAGCTACATAACGAGCAAAATGGGGTATAACACCACACCCACATAAAATTATTATTATTCTAATATTAATCAAATAATCACCTGTCGTACTTAGATTGGGCCATGACTCCTATTAATAAAGTCATACAAATTGTGCCAGAACCTGTATTTTTATACTACTCCAGGACATATTTGTTTAAAGAGTAAAACTAAAATTATATTAAGTATAAATGAAAAGTATTAAAAACAATAATCAGTAAATCAATAATCATCAATGTTATGGTAAAGTTATGAGCTTATGTCCTCTAATATACATACATATATATCTAATAACCCATACGATTAGTGTGGATTATACTTTCCAGACTTACCAAGTTTTTCTGTTTGGGTATTGTTATTAATCAAAATATATATGTATATATATTCATGCACTATTGACAACAAATCAAAGTTTGGATTCGACTAAAGCTTTTTGTTTTGGAATTTTAGAAAAGTATATGAAAGAGAAAACGAAAGTTCAAGCAAAGTAATTGGAAGAAAAGAACCTTTTTCTCCTCACCAACCGATGTCTAAAAACAAAGTGTAAACCTTATTGATAATATAAATCATGGGAAGATGGAAAAGATAGGTTTTGGTAAGCTTTCTTTCCTTCTATGTAATCAGCAAAAATCAAAATAATTAAGTCTGTCCTTTTTGGGACAAAAGCATTTGTTATAAGAGGAGCTTTTGTGTCATATTTGCACATCTTGAAAAAGTTAAAACCTTAAGCAATAAAAAACTTTTTGTATAATTTTTGCTTTAAATATTATATGTATATAAATTTGTACTCCTGAAACTGTAAAGTACATTTTTTATACTTCAGAAAATTGAATATATTCAACGAGTTTGTAAGATGTAAACTAGCTAACAGCAGTATTCTTTGGTTTATATATTTCCCTTTAAAGCCATTAAAAATTATTATTTAAGATTATTCAAGTTTTCAAAGTCAAACAAATTTTATTTGTCATAAAAAAAAATAATTTTAGGCACCAAAAAATATTTATTCCTTAAAGAAAACTTGCTGAAAATTTAGGCTAAGTAAAAAAGAAGAAAACCAAAAATTAGAAAAAGTTTTAGGAAAGAGAATGTATGTGGAAATTCTGCCACCTTTAATCGCTGTGATTTCCACACTAAACCCCTTATTCTTATGCCGTTAATAACCGCTCATATTTTTTTTTGCATTTTTTTTTTTTTGCTGTGGCTTAGATGGATTGAACAAAAATATGTATATATAAATCTCAATTTATAACAGTGTACTCATATATATTCGTGTTTACTATATAGATATTGATACGTGTGTGTGTGAGAGTGATTATGTATATTTGAGGGTGTAATTGCGTGGCGCTGGGTTAAGTAAGGGTTAAATTGATTTCATTCTGTAGAAACCAAATTAACCTCAGACCGATGCTTGACGTATGGAAAAGTCAGGCGGGCATTTGTGTTCCTTCATGCCAACAAGAACGTTTTTTCGCATACATTATGTGGTAGTGGTCCTTGGGATATATCTCACTGGCGAAAACCAAAATGAAAACTTTTCAAAATTAAATAATGAATATTAAAATAAGAAAATTGAAATTAAATATAAGTAAAGTTAAATGTTATTATACACAAATGAAAATGATAAATGTTTTTATTATTAGAAAATTAAGTAAATACAAAAATGAATATTATAAAAAAAAAATGTTAAATTTAAGAAACTTCCTACCATTATTAGACTTTTATAACAAAATGTTTCTACTTCCGCTGCGCATACAAGTATTCAAATTTTGTAGAAAAAAACTAATATTTGAATTCATAAAACTGTGTAAATTGTTCTTAGTTTTTTACTTAAATCGTTTTGGACGTTACTTAGTATATATAATACAATGGAAATATTTAACATTGTTAAGAAAATGTGCAGGATTAAGACATATATATTAAGTAAAATGTCGAATGTTACACATGTTAGGAGGTGCCATGCAAATGAAATGAAAATAGTTTAAGAATTAGATTAGTTCTAAGCTCCTTTCAATGCTTACGAGCTTAGAAATTATTATCCCAACTCTACATTGTGTGTGTGTTTAGCTGTATGTTTTGGTTTGTCCTCACAATAAGTTTACCTTTTACTTGTGCTTTAATATTTATACATGTCTAACCCACAGGGTATTACTGTATTACTCTACAAACATGGAAACTCTTTTTATTTAAATGAGTATAAACGAAAAAGTGGAAAGCAACAACAGACGCGTTCTTGGCATTGAATCAGCTTCTTGTGAATAAATGATTTCGTCGTGACTTAAGTTGGAGTAAGGAGAACATTGAATAAGGAAAACGCTGCTTAAGGATTCCTGTTTGGAGCTGTGAACCTTGTGTGTTTAGCAAATAAGTAACTAAATAATGTAAATAATGTAATGTCAATGAAACTAAACCTTTAAATAGCTACGACTATATTTTAAGTTAAAACCTTATTATAGGATGGAAATAATCTTTATTATAGAGTACGATGAATGTAAAATAGGTTAATGATTAAGAAGTCTCCTTATTTAAATTTATGATTTGTTGTTTAGTAAATTGATAAATTAATAAGTAAATAATGTAAAGTCAATATTTTAAGTTAAATCCTAATTAAGAGTATAAAATAATTTTAATTATGAAGTAAGTAGATTTTCAAATAAGTAAAACAGTTAAGAAGTTTCCCTAATTAGATTTGTTATTGCTTATCTAGTGAATTATTAAACAAATAATGTAAATGAAATATAATGATACCTTTAAATAGAGATAAAATAAGTTTTTAAGTAATTCAAATTAAAAAATAAACTTTATTATGAAGTAAGGAGAAGATTAAGTAAATATGAAAAGGGTAAAGGATTCCTGTATGGAACTGTGAACCTTGAGTGATATTTTAAGACAAACATAATTATGGGCACAAAGTAATATTAATTATAAAGTAAGAAGAATTAAAAATAAGTAAAACGATTAAGTAGTCTCCCTATTTAGATATGTAATTTTGTGTTTAGTAAATTAATAAATAAATAAGTAAGTAAATAATGTAAATAAAGTAAAGTAAATTTTAAATAGGGATATTTTAAGTTAAAAAGTACAACATAATCTTAATTATGAAGTAAGTAGGGTAGGTTTAAAAAAGTGAATCGATTAAGAGTAAATAATGTATTGAGTAAATAATGTAATAAAAATGAAACTAGACGTTTAAGTTAAACTCAATCACAAAATCAAAGCAATGTTAATTAGGATTAAGAAAACACACTTTTAGCAGTCGAAGAACAATGTAACCATCAACTAAGACCCCTAAGGTCAATCAGCCGCCACTACATATATGGAGTATCTTTAAGAATTCATGAAGATATATATTTGATATTCTTAAATGAACAATGACAATAGGTAACACACCAATTGAGTACCGGGTATGTCTAAGCTTTGTGAATATTATATAAACTGAGATTCTTCGTGGCTAAATGAAACATAAAGACTATTGATATATATATATTTTTGTACCTATTTGGTTTGTAAAGAAACATAATATTGTCAATGAAAATGTATTAGAAAAGAGTGCCAAAAAGCATGCCAAAAATCAACATGCGACTGAAATGTAAATCAAATATGTTAAGCATGCCCGTACTTTCGCCTTCAATTTTCTACTTGTATGGGTGTATGTACTTATGCTTGTGCTTGGTTAGGGGTTTTCTTTTTTTTTTTTTTTTTCTTATTAAAGGGTTAACAATGATTATGGGTTTTCTTTATTTTGGGAAGCTAAATTTTAGCCCTTTATGTGTGCCCCAATTCACAAAGATATATAGATATATAATATATAATTTCTTGATAAGAAAGGCAAAAAAGATAGAATTAGTGATGTTTCTTTTTTGTTTGTTTTTTTGTTTTTCATTTTTTTTTTATATATATTTGAACGTTGTTGAGACGCCAAAGCTGTGCGGAAAGAAGAATCTTGAATGATTGCTGAATGAGTTGAGAGTGCGTTAGTTTTTTGTTAGAAACTTAGTAGTCAGACGTATAATAGAATATAGATTATATATGGGAAGAATGGCTGGAATGTACTGGCCACGAATGTACTTACCAAGTAATGGCACTGCATCTGAGGTTGCTGGCATTGTTTCGGCCACCATATTAAGGAAGACTGTAAGCGATAATAAAATTGTAACTCCTGAAAGTTAGTACACCACAAGGATATATATTATATCATTTCGTTGTTTTATAGAAGACATCGAAGTTAGCAGAGGATGAACACAGTAGTAGCGGCATGGAATAAGATTAAAGTTTATTTCGTTAGTCATAGGGTTTTATGCCCTTTGTGTTATTTACACATTAAATACGTGCACTATTACGAGATATTACGGTTAAACAAAATATTTATTGTAAGAACCAGTAGTTATCCTGCCGATTCCACTCTCCTTTAAAGGTTGCTGCATTTGCGACTGCTGCCATTATTTGCACATGTCCAATGTGTTTTAGCCAGGTTTGTGTCCTCGTCACATTTTCTCTCATTTGCCTTCAATAAAAAACTACTACCGTATTTTCTGCACTGAACCTCACCCCCTTGGCGATACATCAATTTTACAAGCTTTTAAGTCCGCAAATAGGTCTTTTTGTTTGATACTCAGTTAACGTTTATATAATAATTATGTATATTTTGGTTTACAAAAATATGGAAACGTTTCGAAGCTGTTGGGTTGATCTATTTAACTATTAGTATGAAAAGTTCAGGATATAACAGCATTGAATATATTGAATCTCCTGTTAGGTAAATATACCAAGTATTATTTTGCGATATTTTAGGATGGGACTTTTATCGGAGATTCCGATCTAAAAGTGACTGTAGAACCTATTGAATGTTTGTACACCTTCTTATGAATAACTTTTCCTGATAAATTAACCAACCAATTACCTTATAAATTACATAAATAAGAAAATAAAAATCAGATAAATACTATGCAAATTACAAAATGTGTTTACTAAACAAAGAAAATGAAATATTAAGATCAGGAAATTAAGTTTAAAGACTAGACATGTTCTTATAAAAATCTCAAATTTTCGAAATATATCTTAAGTTATACCTTTATTCTTTGGATATTTTTGTAGACCTTCACAAACTTCATGCACTTGTCAAATGCTTGGACAATGTAAAAATGGTTAGACCCATGTAATATATTTAAGAGTATAACAGTTTCAGAAACGTTTCCTTACTTCTGTGTCACAAATTACCACGAATCTTATTATATAAACGAACACCGAGAAGAAAAAAATATATATAAAATATATCTAACATCGAGCCATTATCAACAATTTGCCTAAAGTTTTGCCATAATTAGCAATTGCGATAACAATCTAAGACAGGGGTGCTCAACGCCTATGCTTTGAGTGCTGATTTTTTTTTTATAAATCCTGCTGCTTGCTCGTCCGTAAGCTTTCAACGCTCGCAACGCTATTCCAATAACATTTTTTCATGTTCATTTTTCCGTCTCATTCCGCCGCCAACTGCAATGTAATTTGTTCTTGTTTCTTCTTGGATCATTCAATTCATTCCTTATAACTTTTGTTTGACCTTAGAGTTGAACTTAAATTAGACCATCATCACGAGTGATGAAATACAGTATTACAGTTTTTTCTTTCTCTCAGCCTGCACAGCTGCAAACCAACACAAAAGCGTCACTAAATATGCGCACGCTTTCTGGGATTTAGCTTTGCCGTAAGACGAATTTGAGCACCCCTGATCTAAGATATGGGAACACTGGGAAATAAATCTTTTGAGCAGAAAGATTTTGGTATCTAGAATAGAGTTGCAGAGCATGCAAAAGATCTACATTTAAAATCCAATAGTTACTCCAGATGCATTAGCATGTCTAAGAACAAAAGCAAACAACAAGAAGGTAAAAGAAGGTAGCACTTTAATTTGCATAATCTTCACTACTATTTATTAATTAATTAAACGTTCATTTCGTTTATCTAAACTTTTCATCAATCAGTAATTGTATTTTTAAGTTAATAATAATTTGTGAAGCACAGAGATAGAAAGAAGATAGGGGTGGTCAGGAGGGAGAAGAAGTTCAAGGCCAGATAAAGAACTGGAGAACGACACTTACCAAGCGAAAGCTTTTCACCAGAATCTGGTGGCAGTGTAAACCCTAGCAGTGCCATCGAAGCGATCAGTACGCACGGCACAATCAGATTGAAAAAATAGTACAATGTCTTGCGTCTTATCAAAATGGCGAATGTTATGTCAATATAAGGTTCTGGGCAGCAATTATAGTAGATTTCATTTCGTTTACCGGGCACACCTGTTTATTTTTTTTGTTTAGTTTTGAACAAGAGTTATGACATAGAGAAGAAAATATTTATTATGAAATTAATAGATTGTCTTTCATTCAAAAATTTGTTTTTAAATCAAATGCAAAGTAATTTTGTCTTGAAGTTGTCGTAGCTTACCTAACAAATCCCATTCGCCATTGGTTATAAAGCTAGAAATATCTCCTCCGGCTTCGTCTTGTAATTGCAAGTCCAACTTTTGAAACATATTTTCAAGCTTTTGAAAACAAAACAAAGAAGGAAACTTTTTAAGTTACCTGAAAACCATCGTAGGTCCATGAACCAAACTTCATTTCACATCTTTGATCGTCAAATGGAAACCACGTAATATCGATCTTGCATGTTGATTTGAATATACCAGGCGGTACGTACAGGCAGCTTCCATTGTTACGAACTACCACATTTGTGGCATACGTTCCATCAAAGCCTTCATCCGCACTAGAAAATTGCAACAAATTGATGTTAAGTATCTTGATTTTCAATCAGTACATAAGACCAACTATCTGAAGGTTATAATGAGGGTTTTAATGATGTACTAAATTATGGATTTACTTACCTATTGTACATTAGAACATCTGGTTTCCACAATCGATGTGGTGGAATCCGCAGATCGCGTACACCCCCGAATTCGCTAGAATTCCATCTCAGATTCATGTCATTCCATTCCTAATTAAGATATTTAATGAAAAATTTTAGGGACAGTTATCAAAAATATTTAATTTATTTAACGTATAACGTATGTATATTTAACGTTAAAATGAAGTTACCATTTACCATTTACCAAAGCCTACAAACTTATTTGCGTTCTTTTATTTATTTAGTAAAAACTTACCAATTTGAGCCAAATATTTGTTATTAACAGTTGATTCTTTTCGTCCTGAAATGGGATAAAATAAAACTGTATCACTTTATCTACAAAGATATTAAAATGAATTTCAATGATAGTCTTATATTTATCTCATATTCTCAAGAAACTACGGACAATACGGAAGTCATCTTCATCGTTATCAAGTTTATAAATCTACTAAAGGTAGAAACTCTAGTAGAAACTCTAGTAGAAACTCTAGTAGTATTATAGTATAGTATAGTATCAAATCCCTATATGATTTGTCAAACCTACTTATTATAGTCTTTATTTACCACATCGATAATCTGCATGAGTGTTAGTCCGAAGCTCAGTTGTAATGGATCGGATTCGTTGACCACCGGACGTTCTAAGCTGTTATAATTGTCCAGAAGGGCGTGCAGCAACCTCTTTTCATGGGGACCAGCCGTACAAGCTATATGATAAAATGAAAAAAGGGTAAAAATACATTAAATAATGATAATAAAAAACTGAGAAATGGTTTAATATAAAACCCATTTATTACAGTACTCTTACCCGGTATCATAATTAGAAGACCCAGGCCATAAACGAGCATTTTACCACCGTTAGCTGGTGCCTCCGGCAATGTGTGCGGCTGTGGGAAGCTCATGTTGGTTTCCTGACTAGAGCAGAATGGATTGTCCGATCGACTAAGTGATTGCTTCTTCATATCTTACTAACTTAACTCGTTTTTGGGTTCCTCCGTTTAATTCTTGGGATGTTATAATGGCGCGGAAATGAAACTTAGCGAGAGTCCTATTCAATCAGCCTCCTTTAAGTTCACTTCCATAGTTTTGCATTTTGATTGATTGTGGTCCTGGTATATAGTATATTATAGTATGTTCTTGTACGAGTATGTGGTTTGAATTGAATTTCTTCTCTGTCTCTCTCTCTACTGCTTATTGACAGTTATTGACCAACTCATTGGATCCATTTGAGACTTTCCTCTAATTCGTTCACTAATGCTTTTCGTTAGCTTTCTGATTTTGATTGACTTCTCATATTGTTTTCGCCTCACAATTGGCTTTCACTCTAAATATGTTTCCTTATAGATTTGATTGTTGTTTCCTTTCTTATTGGCAACCATATTGTAATCTATTTACACGCCGATCCATTTTTGACAGGCTGTAAGAGATGGAAGGATAATCTTTTTTATAATATTATCATATCAACAATTCGAATTATATGAGTATTGGAAAATTTTAAACTCAAAACTTGTTTTGGTAGGACTTCATTTTTTTTTAACTTTTCATTAAAATTTGGTTTTATATATTAGGTTAAAAGAAATCAATGTGTTATCATTCCCGAAAATATATCTTAAAAATTAAAATGTTTAATTTATCTTAAAGTTACTATAGACAACATCAAGAAAACTACGACCCAAATTCTAAGCCATTCGTAAAACACATCAAGAAGTAAAATAAATGGTTTTCATTTCAAAAATAGTATATTTATTAAAAAAAATACTAGACATTTTTGGTATTTAACAATGTATTTCAACAATGTATTATCCTTCTCAGGCGATGAAGTTGTGTGTCCGAATCCATCGCTTTTATTTAATATGTTTTTACGTTTATAAAACCTAAAAAAGTTTAGAAGTTCATTTTTATATTAGTATTTTTCGTATGTAAATTAAATCTAAACTAAAACCACACACATTTTCACCAATTTTTCAAATGTTTAGAACATTTTTGAACACACATTTTTTTAATGCATTTTGTAAATATTTCATGCAATATTTTTCACGTTTAAAAATAGTAAAGTACAACATTTATTAAAAACATTTTAATACATAACTCACAAATTATTGCCCTGACAAATTTTCATGTAGGATCAATGAGATTTCTGAAACTTTGTAGTTGTCATCTAAACAGTTGCCTTTATTTAATCTCAGTTAATATTTTTAGAACATTAATAACTTACTTTGTGAGAGGAATCATTTTTCCTTTCCATCATTGTATTTTGTTTAACGTTCTGTTCTGAAAGAAAACATATTAAAAAATGTTTTACTAAGGGAATAACTACAACTAGTTAACGGTAGTACAAATTATAGCTTTACCATTACGAAAGTAGACAAAATTAATCAGGTGAAAGATTGAGAAAGAGAAAACTTATTGGTGGTTTTGGAGTATGTTCTTCTAAATACAAACCGACTTTCATTATGAAAATCAGTTAATGCTAATATAATAAGCCAGAAATGCTGACAATTCAGTCGTTATTCTATATTAATAATCAAGCATGTTGATATATAATTAGGCTAATATAGGTAAAAAATATTGCAGGGTAAAATCAGAAAGTAAAATATTAAATATGACCAAGCGAAAAGACTGGCGGCTTTCTTGCCAAAGATTCGAAGTGGTTCATAGCTAAATACTTTTAAAGTTAAGTAATCAAAGAAAATTGTATTTTATAACCAAATTAAAATGTAACTAGAGATGCATTTGCATGTCCCTTTCAAAACAATAGATTTTTAAGGGTAATCTTGCAAAGGAAAAATCAAATTTTAAATTACTGCGCTTAAAAAACCCTACTCTTTACAGTCTAACTTTGTAATTGTATTAATTCTATCTATTAATTTGTATTTCTTATCTAATTCGAACGATTATTTTGGTACTACAGCAAGGGTGTATATAATAGGGAAGAAGTTAGCGTATTTTAAAAATAAAATTTAAAGAAAATAGTAAATTTAAAACGAATAACTTTGTCTTCTTCGCTCAAATATTGCTTCTTATTAAATCCAGATTAAAATCAAAGTTAATTAGACCTATCAAAAGCTATCCACCAACATTCTTTCAAAGTAAAACTTCTTACATCCTTGGCAAATCTCTTGTCTAAAATAACCACAAAAATATTAAACATTCTGAATTGACTGCCAAGCAAAGAGCAGAAAAGAAAAACGAGAAAAACAAATGATAAAACCCGCTCTATATTGCTGAATATGACATGGTAAATTTATTTGATTACATTCTTAAAAATTCGCATTGCTGCCTACGGGCTGTAAAAATCCAGCTGCGGTCCATTATCATTTAGGTCTTTTGGCCAGCTGCTCCCCAGCGATTGCCACAATATAACCCAGTCTTGTCCCTGTCCCTGTCCATGTCCCCTCGGTTAAATCCCTTCGCGATATCTACATTTTTTTGGTTGTGGCTGTGGGTGGGTTAAAAAAAAAAACGGGAGAAGACCTTGTCTTGTTCATGTGCAATGTTTTATTAATTTCAAAAATTGCTTACATCTACTTAGATTTTTATGGAATTGGTTATATTTTATGATTGGCTATATTTATTGAGAGTAGCAGTTGGTTTTTAAATGAAACAACTTAATTTTACGAAGAAAATGTGTAGCCATATGATTAACAAACTTTTGTCATAACTTTTCACATGACTTTCTATAATATTCAAATTATGAAGTTGTGCGAAAATTCTGTTATCTGCTTAATTTATGTTTTATAAACATTCCTATTGTTATTTCTATTGGTAGCCGTCTCATCCAGCTTATTACTTTTGTTGGTAATTTTGTTTGGCCACTGATTGTTGCAACTTCTAATTGCATTATAACTTTTCTAATTGGTTACTACTGTGACATTTTTTTAGGAACCTTTTATTCACTCAGCCATGCAGTAATTAGCCAAAGCAAAGCAATATCAATTAGCGAAGTTAAAAACGAGTTGGGAATTCTAAATGGTCTTAAAATACATTTCTGTTTTTGTACACTTACCTTTGACTTGATATTTTGCATTATCACTTTGCACATTTAAGTAGAAAATATCGCGGGAGTAATAATATTTTCAGCAGTTTAAGAATTTCTTTATGGTTTTTAATATTTACACAAAGTTGAGAAGTTTATTTATGAAATTGTAACGAAACCTGTCAAGAACCTAGTTTATATTCCTTGTTTTTAAGTCATTTAAATAATAATATTAAAATATTTTTTGTCAGATATTGAAATTATATTCTTACTTATAAAAAAGTAAGCTATAATTTTAAAGCCTTTGGTGAGTTGAAATTGAAAAATTTAATTTCTTAAATGCTAAACAAAAATCCTAAACAAAAATCATCTTCACATTATTCTTTAATCCTAGCTAGCTCGTCTACATATTCTTAGTAGATTCCTAAGGACTTCCCCACTTTTTCCCCAAACAAGTTTCCATTTCAGCTTTTATTTAGTTTAGTTGGTTTTCGCGTTACTTTTTCGTTTGTTTTTGTTCTTTGCAGATGAAAAACAGTCGAGAAATACACTCGAGCTTTGTTCCTATTTAGTGTTTTTCTACCCGTTGTACGTAACAGGTAGAATGTATGTAAAAATGAAAGGAAATAAACATTGGCCAAGTCTAAGTTTATATACCCTTTGCATTGAGACCAAAAAAAAAAGTTATCTTATCACAGAGTTACTTTACACTCTATTTGATTTCCCTTTAAAAAATATTTAAGTTTACTAACCGCTGATTAAGTAACTTAGCTGGTAGTTAGGAAACTGCTTTCGGGCAGCACACTTTCAAAGTAACAGTTTCTAAAGCTTATATTATTCGTATTTTTAGCATCTGAGATTTAAGTTTTTAAAATATTTGAATATTTTTAACTAATTTAATATACAACACCTTAAATCATCAATCTATTATCAAAGCTCATATTAGGTTTGATTTATGGAAGTAAATAACTTTGATGTCTTGAAAGATAATTATTAAAAAATCTTAAAAATAATTCCTTAACAAGACAAATGGTCTTTTAGTTAAAATATTAATTGATAATTTAAAAGAAAACTATCAAATCCTTGCCCTCTTATCACAAACCACAAATGATAAGGAACTATCCTTACCCTACCACTTACCAGTCATAATATTTGCATAGATTTTTGCATATTGTATAGCTCCATTGAAACAGATTTTTTTGTTAGTTGTTGTTGTTGTTGTTGTTGCTCTTGTTATTATCTCATAGAACTTGGCCAAGATGTTCCAAAAGCTTGGCCAACAATTTAAAAAAAGAACAAAAACAGTTCAAAAACACTTGGGCGAATGATTAGTTTTCTAAAATTGATGTAAAGGAATTGGGGAAAGCAATGGATAGCAATCGTAGTGGGGCTTGGCACTATCTATCGGTAAGTGTTTATATTATTACTGACCGCTTGCTCAAGGAACTTGACACGCCACGGGTTCATGGCGCTTGGGAGGCACAAAACTTATACAAAAAAATAGCATCTATATATATATTTTAATATATATATATATATATATATATATATAACTTTATCTATATATATATTTGTTTTTACACCTTTAAAAAAATGTTCGTTGATAATTATTTTATGTAAACATTTTACGGCGCGCTCGAAGATTTTGTCACTGATTTTGTGCACACATTTTTCGATTTAGTTAGTTTTGCACATTTTCCGAATCTCAATCTTTTATTATGTTTGTGCAGATTTCCTTTTGATTAGTTGTGTTTTTTTTCTTTTGCTTTTGCCTTTTTTTCTCCTTTGGCACAAGAGAAGAGATGAGCAGCAGCAGCAGCAGCTGTGTGACTATTTCTTCGACCGATTCGTTCACGACCACGCACTCGACTGAATGGCTGTGATAGCAAAAGGCGTACGATACCGCAAAAATATCCAAAAACTACCACAACAGCATTTCTCACTGTTGAACACACAGTAGCAGTGACAGCAGCAGTACTAGTAGTAGTAGTAGTAGCAGCAGCGGCAGCAGTAGCAGTTGTAGTTAGAGGCAACAGCAACAGCAACAGCGGCAGGGCAGAGCAGACACGACGAAACGTGCTCGACTTTCCAACTGCAACTGAGCCTTACGACTCCGAAGGCGACACGTGGCCCAACATCGTGGCCGGTCCTGTGACCTTAAACGAGAATGTTAACTCATTGCCCACCATTCGGCTCGGCTCGTTCATGGTCCTTCGTCGTATACATTTTGCTCCTTCTGTTAGGTCAGAAATTTCTAACAGAGTACTGCGAGCACGCCTTGCCGGAATGTTATGAAAAGTAAACAAATAAGGTGAACTTTCCTGTGTGCCTGTGTGTATTGTTGTGATAAATGTTGAGGAGGATGCAGTGGACTGGACACCACGTGGTGTCCAAAAAGCGTTTGTTGTCGTGAGGTTGCCAATGGAAATGGAAAATAGGGAAATAGAATGTTAAGTTAGAAAAGTAAAAAAATTTTAACTTGTTTTGGGAAGAAAAGTTTCATTTTCTCCTCTATTTCTTTCTTGAATAATATTAAAATGTATAAAACGATGGTTAAAAAATTATCTGTCAGTTAAAAAGATTCATTCAAGAGGCAGCATGCTATCCAAAATCCTCAGTTCGGTCAAATAGGCTTAACATCTAGTGAAATTTCTGTGAATTTTAAGAAGTACTTTACACTTAGAGAGAAAATATTAAAACCAGTTAACTTGGTTTATATATTTTTATTTAATTTTTTCTTAAAATAAATCATAAATTTATATAATACTAGTAAAAAGCAAATAAAATAGAAATGTAACCTTTTATAATTTTTATGAATTACCAAAAAGCACTTAATATAGACAAATATTTCTTGCGTGTATCCCCTAGAATACCAACCCCTGAAAGCTGTTATACTCAGTTCCTGAAATGGAAAATGATAACAAACAGTTTCCACAGAACAATTTTCTCCTGAAAGCTTTTATATTGCATCAAACGTAAGCAATTCACAACGAAATGCTTTCTAAGTTGCCATAATTATGGGTTTCGGGATATTCACCACTCAATAATGTTGCCATAAAATAAATCTGGTTCTCACCATCACCCAGGTTCTTCTTTGAAATAACCTTTTTATGGCTTTTTATAGATGTCCCAAAAAGCAGAATTTTAAATCTTTAGGTGGAATTTTTGTAAGCTTGAGCTTGGACTTCCTTAAAACGATTTTTTTCAGTTATTTCTTCCAAAAAGTGAAAGCTAAAAATCTTAAGTTAGTTAGATTTTTAAACCGTTGACAATAAGCATTTTACATAACCAAAAGCAAGTAGCACATGCAATTACCAATGCATCTATCTAAACTTTGATACCAACCATTATTTGAAGAGAAAAAGTGTTTATTATATTCGTTAAAATGTATGTTACAGGTATAAGAAAGCTTTTCCTATCCTTTGTTACCAAAATAAGTAGCCAAGTTTATTCTTGTCCGTCCATCTGTCCGTATGCCTATTGGTCTTGCAGTCCGTACGTAATATGACACCTCAGAAACTATAAGATTTAATAACCATGTAGATTATAGAGATTTCGAGGCGCTAATTAATTTCAACAGCTTAGCGCTCACCATGACTCCCACGCAAAATGTCGCAAAAGACTGTCCGCCTGTACTATGTACCATATGCGCCATCTGTTGGCAAAGTTTAGTAGAAAGAATAACGTATGCCTTCAGAGTTAAAGTAAAAAATCGTTTGTATCTTTTGATTTCCTTTTGAATGGAGTTGGTCATGGCTTTAGTTTAAGTTTGCTTTGTCAGTAAGTAAAAATTTAGTTTATTTCATTTGAAACAATTTTTAGGAAATCAACCCAAATTTGTACGATATTTTTAGAAACCCCCCTTATTCTGATGTGGTGTTAAAAGCTTAAAACTAGACTTAAACGTTAGCACCAGTTAGGGCTTACTTTACCTACCGACCTTTACCTACTTACCTAATGTATGATGGTCAATAGTTACATCGTTTACATTTTCTTTACATTCAATTTAACAACCCCATCTTCTGGTATATTTATATTAATTTAAAAATTGGGGAATAGGGTATTGGAAAAATTCTTGTTTTACTTTCGTAGTGAAAACTATATAACTGCAATGTTTGTATGAATTTTATTCTAAGTTTACATTTCTCCTAAACTTCCTTCCATAGAAAATCTTCAACGGTGTAAAATAGTCAGTTAGTATTCCATTGCTGGCAGCTTTTCCAGAGTCATGGTGGAGCTGCCATTTTATCGCGTTTTTCCGGTTGTCATGCTACATTTTATCGCATGCTACATATTGCTATGACATTGGACAGATATTTGACGCAAGCGAATTTTTACCTTTAAAATTTAAAGTCTTTCTTAATCTTCTTATGGTATTTTGACGCGCGTTTGGTTCTGATGCTTGCTAGATTTGAAGAGCGCTGAGTTTTCACGCGCTCTTAATTTGGTTTACCAACGAAATCTTACGCCCTTTTTGTGTTACCTGCTTTAATTTCAGACACCCTTAATTATATCGCGCACATACCTTTTACTTGTGGAGTAAAACTGAGTATGTAACAGGTAGAAGACAATGCTATTGACCGTTTAACCTTATATTCTCGATCAGGATCGATCTAGATATTTTCCTTTGTTCGTATGGCATGTGAGGTCTCGGTAACTATAGGAGCTTTACATTTGGAATAATTAATTTTAATTTTTTCGAACTTCGTGACCCCTGTTCAATTTTTACTTCTAATTCGAACACCAGTTCTCAATTTCAAAAACACACCTAAATTTATGCAACACTTTTTCTTAATTCTTATTCAATGTGTGTTTTTTAAGTGTAGTTTGGGTTGTTTGTAGTTGTTCCTGGTTGCATCTTATCAACGGGAGTTTCAGTCTTCAGATAGACGGGTCACTTCGGTTCGCTCGAACATGTTGCACTCGTCTCGGCTTAGTTCGTTACGGTTTGATCCGTTTCGGCTCGGCTCGAACGGCTTGCATCGAGCCGTACTCTCATACAGCTGTGCGTCGCAGTGTTATTGCAAACGCCGGTCGCGTAGGTTGCTACGTTTGTGAAGCGTCGAGCGCAGCGCCCACAGACATAAAACACATTAGTTTCGAGTTCGAGTGCGGGGAGCGCAGTCAGTTGTTGCCGTTTGCCGCCAATTGATGGCCAGTAGCGGGTAACGAAACACGAAAAGTCGAGTCGAGTGTCGTTGAGTGTGTTTGTTTTCACCGCGAAAAGCACGCGGGTGTTTTGCGGCTAGTTCCGAGTGCATTACTCATTCTTTTTTTTCGGTTACTTGCAAGTGAACGTGAATACCACCCCCTTCCCTAAAAAAATAAGAAAAAGAAACCCCCTCCACCACCCCCGACCTTAAACCAAAAGGCGATTATATTTGGAAAGCACTGCCGTGGAGTAACAAGAAGGGAGCAGATCAACATAAAGCGAGGTAAAAAGAGACATGATAGTGAGAAAGAGTCGAAATGAGTGCATAAGACGAATGATTGTATGCGGGAGCAGAGAGAGGTAGAGCTGATAGAGAGCGTGAGTGCAAGTGATGCGTGTGTGTGTATGTGTTTAAGTACATGTACGTATATGTGAGATTGTGTGTGTGTGGGACTACCCGTTGAACCGGTTCGACACTCATCTTCGACTTACCTGCAAAACAACAACAGCACGCTTGTGTGCTTGGAAAAACATGGAAACTGAAACTGAAGCAAATGCAGCATCGCCAACAACAACAGCAACAGTAACGGCAACGACAACAACAATGTGCAGCTGCAGCAATTGTAATGTCAAATGAATCAAACGGACTGCATCATTTGCGTTTCCGAAAGAAAGAAAGAAAAGAAAGAAGGCATCGCAGCAGCAGCAACAGCAGCAGCATCAGCAAAATACATATTATACATATACAAAGTGCAGACCAGCGAAGCCATTAACCCCAAAAAGGCAAAGGCATCATCATCAATCTGCTTATTTGCGATCGGTGAACAAAAATTTAAGCCTTAAGTCTTGAGATCGTTTTACATTTTTACTCATTTGTCCTTATTCCATATTTCCGATTGGTGACTAATATGCAACAAAGATCATAAAGTCATGCTCATATGATCTACATACATACATACATACCATGTACATGCATGTATTTTCAAAACCTGTCTTAAAATTGTGGTCACTAGAGGGTTAAGTACAGAGTCGTCGCCTACCTGCCCTGCCAAGGGTTAAGCACTCAGGCATGAAGTTTCGCGTGTAATTGACGTTGCCAAAAATTAAGAAAGAAAGAAAAACAAACAAACAACAAGAGGACAAAAGCACGAACAACAGAAATTAGAAGACACAAAACAGAAGGGAAAACTTAACTGAGAACCAGAAAGCTCTTGTTTTTTATTTTGCTTTTGCATTTTTTTTTCGAGCAGTACAGTTAGTCGCCAGCGGTAATGTCATAGTATGCGTGTGTCTGCCATAGGTATGTGCGTGTGCGTATGTTTTTGTTGGTGTTTTTGGCGCGGCAGCATATTTTTTGTTTTCATGAATTTCTTTTTTATCCTTTGGGCGAATAAGAACTGCAGGAAAGTGTGAGACAGAAAGAGCGAAAAACGGGAGCCAGGCAAAGAAAAACTAAAAACAAAGCGATTAGCAGCACTCACACACGCACACAGGACAACCAGGAAGATGTGGGAATATTGCGGCCTAGAAAGTAAGAGATAAAAAAAGAGAACAAGAAGAAGAGCACCAATAAGACAGCAACAACAATCATTGTATACCCTTTAAGATTCCACTTAAGTTTTTGGTCCACAATCCTCCAGCGTCTCTTTAAATATAATTTTATCACTCGAAATTTGATCGTTTAATGGGATTCTTCGGGACTTTCATTTTAAAGATCTATTTACTACACTTCAAATGGAATATGACAGCCATGGAATTTATTCATTAAAGAAATTTCTTTTCCATTCTCTCTTCTCAGCTGGAATATGACAGAAATAGAATCTTTTCATTCCATTTCGGAATACAAATGTTTTTTTTTTTGTATGAAAAATTTACATTTCTGTCATAGTTTATTTGATGGCTAAATAAATAGTTCTATTAGGAGCAACAGGGAAAAGATAGAACCTGCTTTTTCTTAAACCATTTCACTTAAATGATATTTAAGGAAAATATTCTAAGTCTAAAAAATAGATATAATATTATCTTTTAGCTCTAAAACCGACTTCTCAGGTTTATAACTTTATTTGATCATATTTTATTAAAACTTATAACACAAAAAAATTAAGAAAAATCTCAAAGATCCTTTCAAGACCATTTAAAGAAATATATAGCTGAGCTGATCAGTGTGATTTTTCTCAATAGATAGTCAAATATGACCTACAATGCATATCATTTCTAAATAAAATAACACAAAACACCTTAAAATCATCTCAAAATACCTCAAAACTTCACTGAAAATACCCGAAATGCCGTTTTAAATTAAGCAAAAAGGACTTAACTAAGGATTATCGAAAAAAATTATACGTAAATTTAGCCAAAGAGGACCTCAATAAGGATTATTGTTTTCAATTACGCTTTTATTTGCTGACGAGTTCAAGTTTTTTGGTTTTTCCTTTTTTGTTTTTGGGTGTGTGTGTGCGTCTGCGGGCTAAAGTAAAATTTTGGGCTGCCAGAATCAAGCATGCTGGTGGTAATTTTGTGGCTGCCCAATGTAAGTCGTCTGCAGAAGTCAGAAATTTGAAGAAAGTTTATTTGGAACTGCCTAGGAAATTTTAAAGTAAAATTTACTTTGGGTTGAGCAGGAGAACCTTTTTGATAATATTCGATTTTATCAAGACAATGACCCGAAGAATTCGGGAATTGTTCAAACAAATAGCTCGTTTGTAACTCAATGGGAAATGTTATCGTTGACAACTCATAGGTATAAACGTCGGCAAATGTTAAAATATCAAACAAATCAACGTACCTTTAAGGTCATTGGACAGAAGTCACCCTAAAAGTCACCCAAAAGCTGGTGCTAGACGATGCATCAGCAGCAACAACAGAAGCAGCCTAGCAATGTACATTTAAACCCAACAATTCCATTTCCAGACAAACATAAGCTCTCAATGATGCACAAAATATCAAAAACCATTTAGATGTTTAGCCTAGTCATTGTTCTCAGCACAAGGGGAATAAAAACACGAAGTGCTTTTATCGAAACGCTGCAGCGTGTTTCCCAGGGCAATGACAAAAACGGCTTAAAATGGTTATTGACCAGAAAGTTGGTTGCTTGTGTTTGCCATATTTTTTTTATACAAATTATGGCTGACTATTTAACTGGTTAAATATTTGATATTTTAAGTTGGTTAATGGATGAAAGCCAAAATTAGGAAATTTTAGTTTTGATTTGTTTAAGGATTATTTCTATGTTTGCAACATTTTGGGTATAACTAGAGAACTTACTTAGTACTCATAGATCACCAAAATATAGATATAGATGAACAGGCCTTTCTTACATTTGATATTTTATTTAAGGTTCTTAATAACAAGCCATATATTGATCGATTCTTGAATAGTTTTCTGCTTGAAGTTGTGTTTTTTGACGATTTTAGAGATCAAAAGGTTATCTATACATCACATTCTTAGAAACTAAGATCATATAATAGGTTTAAAAGAGCATCAAAGTATAGAATGACATTCGTCAAATAGAATATTTTTGTTAAGGGTTTTTATAAGAAACAAAATGTATATTGATATTAAATAGTTTTCATTTTAAGACCTGCATTTTCTGAAATTTCCGGCAATCAAAAAGCTATATTATATAAAATTCTTAGAAAATTAAACAATATTGAAGCAAAAACATGAAGCATGCACCATTTTTCAAAGCTTTTAGCTAAAATCCTTGGGTATATCGCGGTCGGGACATTCCTTCGAGCAATGTCTTCTATATTCTTGTTTGGCTACATGCTCGAGTTCACGTTGAGTTTAGATTTTGGAGTTTGGGTTAGCTGTAGTTAAGTCTAACATCGTAGGCACCGATTACGGCAACAACAGCAACAACAACAAGAGTGGCAACAACCGCAGAAACAGCAACGGTCACTCCACATCGGCAACAGCAGCAACAACAACGACAATATACAGCAACAACCAGAGCAACCACTTCATCGAAAACTCGTTTTGACAACAATTATGGCCCAAGCGGAAAGGCTGAGCTCCGCAGTTGGAGTTGAAGTTGAAGCTGAAGTTGGAGTTGGAGTTTTCAAATAAAGTTGGGGCCAAAAGCACAAAGAAAAAAAACTATATATATATATATATAAATAAATATATGTATAAGAAAGAAAGAAAGAAAGAAAGAAGCTGAGAAAACTGAGAAGTTTAAGTCGCCGAGGCTGTTGCAGATAAAGGATTGCTTGTGGTTACTGTGTTACTGTTTGCTTTTGCCATTAAAAGCAGTACAGCTTGACCATCTTTGTCGGCGGTTTCCTGATCAAAACCGCGAGATAATAATAGCCCCAAAAAACGAACAAACCAGCTTCATTTCTTACTTTTGGGCATAGAAAACTGTCTTCTTCTTAGGAATATCTTTGTTTTTAGGAATAACTCAAAAGGTGTAGGGCTAAGATTTAATCTTCAACAAGTCTTAGGAAACATATACCTACGTTTAGCACTACATTTTTGAAACATTTACCAACCGATTGACAAGATTTTAAGGGACAATTTTTTAACATGAATCACTGCCAATCGAAATAATGCGAGAAACGTGCACATCGTCGAATAAATGTTGACGCATTATATGTCTGCCCCAAAAAAAAGGGATACGTGAAAGGATTTTTCAGAAAAAACGTTGAAGCACGAAAAAACAAAATGAGTATCGAATATTCCATGGGTGATTTGCAACTAAGGGTATTTTTAAGGGATTTAACAGAACAGATTTTTTAACAGAAAAGGAGTGCGACAGTTTATATAAGATCGTTTTGCACAGTGAAAGAGAAGTCTATAAGCAAATATGTGTAATAATTTTCATAGTTTTCAAAAATGAAAGAAAAATCAATAAGTAAAGAAGTTTAATAATAATTTTGGTCGAAGAATGCTTGATTATTATTATAGTTTATACAGTCTTTAATGATTTTCTTAAAAAATGATGTATTAATTACAAACTAATGTAAAAGTTGGCTTAAAAACTAACTTAAGTCTACCATCATTAATCAAATTGATTCACAGAACTTAAGATTTTCGAAAGAGCTTCATAAATTAAAGCAAAAATAGAGATTTTGAAGAATTCTTTAGCTTAATATCATTCATTATCTGATTTTTGTAGCACTTTTTGGCAAACTCGTCTGGCTATTATTTATTTAATTAGTTTGATGCAAAAAAAATTAAAAGAACAAGTTTCAAATTAGCAGCGCTTGCCAATTGGTACCCATCTGAATAATTTATAACCCTTAGTAGGTATTTTATTATGCTTCAAATTCGTTAAAAACTTGATATAATTAATTAGGTTGTTACGTTTTATGAACTATTGAAGAAGAATACATTTTTCATCGATACAAAAAGAGTTCTTTATAAAATTCCAAATCCATGGCTATGCATATTTATCTTACTGCTATAAAAAAAGATAAAATACTATAAATAAACGTTGAGTAGAAAAAGTGCAGTTTGAAGCTCAATAAAGGGAGATAAGCGAAGTAGAAAACAAAATAAATTGATAAGAAAATATGTGAGAAAATGGCCATTTTATGAAAGCTTTTCCATTCAACAAGCTTTGACAATAATATTGAATTACGAAAAGGGGGTTTTCCAGTCTATGTATTTAGCTTGGTTTTTCGCATAATTCTCTACCCCTCTTTTTTGTGGTTTTTGCATTATTTCGGCTTCATTATTTTTGGGTTTTTTTTTTCACTTACGTTTTGAGAGTTCGTTTTTCTTTCGCGCCTACGCCATTTACTTATTTCTCCATCTTCATGGGTTTCAAATTGCCAGTGTGCTCGCAGTTCTGCGCTCTTTATTGTGGCGTTCTTCATCATTGTTTACTCCTTTTATGGCCTCTATTCGTTCTCCTCATCTTGGTTTGTGCGCTCCTCTGTCTCTCTCGCGCGCTCTTCGGCAATTCCTCATGATCAGGTCAAACGCGGTTGGAGTTCGAGCTAAAGTTGGATTTAAGAGGTGCAACACAATTTGAAGTTCGATGGGGTGGCTTGAAACATGTTTGATTCTAATGGGTTACAGTAAGAGAAATTAGAAGGCCTGGTTTACGTCAAATCGTTACTGAATTTTCACTTCTTTCAAATGTTTTAAATACATTTTAAGGGATTCTAATTTTTAAATATTAAATATTATTTTAGCTTGTTACATGCTTGTTGCATTAAAAATCCTGCACTTAGACCTAAGCTTGGGAAAATTTAAAATTTTTCTGTGTGTACTGTCAAACAAACCTTTGTTTGCATTGCTTGCTTGAAAAGTGTTGGAAAGAAGTCTAAAGTCACTTATCACATGTACACTTAAAGAATTTTAGGTAATTGTTTAGAACTATTTTGAAAACTTGTAAAAAAGACACTGTAACCGTTCTGAGTTATATATTTTTAACATTATGATTCTTTTGGAGCTGTGCTTTCTATCACAAAAATTAATATCACTTACTAGACCGATTATATCTGAAAATAAAGATTATAAAGTTTCTTTTTTTTGAGAACCCTTAAACTGTAATATAAATATTATAGGATTAAGAAAACTTTGTTACCAAACTTGTGCTGTGAAATTACAGTACCTTCTGCTGAAGTATTAACTGTGATAAAAAATGTATGGAAATGTATCCGAATATGAAACGCTTGCCATTGCAACTGCAACATGGAAAAAAGAGTAAAAACCTGCCCGAAAAACTAACTTTTCTCACACTTGATTCGTATATTTATTATTAATTACCGACGGGGCAGGTAAGCGCGAACTTCTTTTATACACCCAGTCACTCATACACACTGCCAGGCACATACACACACACACGCATTGTTGGACACGCACCCACAATATGTGCATGTATGCATGAATATACGGAAAATCAATTAAAACTTTTAATTGAAAGAAAGATTTAAGTGAAATTAAATTTTTTTTTGTATTTATTTCGCTCCTGTTCATCTCTCAGCCAAATCTCATCATCATCGCTGCTTTTTCAACTCGACTCTCTCTCAACAAAGTTAAAGTTTACGGAAGCGATGTTAATATGTTTTGGGATTTTATAATAGGAACTCATATGACAATACATATGAGTACACAATGACGTTGGCACAACAACAATAACATAATCATAATAATCGTAATAATAATACTCGTTTTGTCAATTACAAGTCACTTTTGTGTAATAATGTCCATGATGTTCGTGTCGCTTGCTTACTACTCTTGCCATTGTCGTAAAATATCAAAAAAAAAAAAAAAACAATCTACGAAATAATAGACATTTTGTGATGGTAAACGTAAGCCTATATATATTGGTATGTCTTCATTTAGCTAAAAGTGTCAATATTAAATCACATTAAGTTTGTGGGTGGTTTAAAGTTAAATCAGCTCTTGAAGGAATGGTTTGGCTTATTAAGTAATTTCATATATTAAATATGCAACAGTTTTCTGTTTTAACCTGAATTTATTAATACAGAAAATAACCAGCAGCTGAAATATTTTTGTAAAAATGCAATCAGAACAGGCCTGGAATTTTCCATAAATATTTTCCAGCATGTTTCAACTTTTTTGCTTACTTTATTTCTGAATCACAAACAGAATGTTTGCCAAGAGCAACAAATAAGTTAAATATGGCAACTTACTTGAAACCAATTAAACTTAGAGGCACTTACTAGGCCAAAAAAAACAGAGGTACCAAAACACCTAGTGTTCTAATTAAGGCTTAGCTTTTGGTACATTACCGAAAGAAGTGCATTTCAAGAACTATAAGTGCTTCTCGTGAATGCAATGCGTGAAATGAGGATACGCCTTTTGGTGTTCGAAAGTGAGATGAAAAGAGCTCTTTTATATACCTGTTACTGGTAGACCAAAAAAAAAATGTGTAATTTTTAAGTGCAATAAGTGTGTTAAAGGAAGGGTTTTAGGGTTAAAAAGATAACTCATTTTATGATATTTTATAAATATAATAATTACTGTAAAGATATGATAGGGAACTGCAGAATTTATGAAGTAATTTGCTTGAAATTTTAAGCAAAAGAGAAAATATTCGTATATTTTACTAAATTGTAAATAAATGTGTTAAATTTCAACACAAAATATTTATCTTTTTGATTGATTTATTTTTTAGGTTAACTTTGGTATCATCGCAGACCATTCACTGGCAGAAAAACTTGTGAAATTTTAAAGGATTCGAAATAAATAATCAACCTTAGAGATTGCTGGAAAGGCTGGGGCTGTTTTAACACTAAGGTAATCTATTATTAAATATTTTAAGTTAAGGTTTTAATTTAGATTTAGTGTACACAATTTATATAAATATTTATCTATTTATCTCTCTTTATTGCTGTTAGTTTAAAGGGACTTAAGCTTAAATTCTACAAAATAATTATAGCAAACTTAGACATGTGTTTCCAGGTAATAAACGGTTCTAAGTTTGTATGTATATATAAAGAGGTAGAATATAGGCTAAAATACATATGTGACATGGCCTTATCAAACGTATGATGATACCGGCTGGCTGGCTGGATGGCAAGCAAGGCTTGTAATTTTTAAATTAGAATTACGTGATGTGCCTGCTAAATTGGCATTATTGAACGGTTGGAGGACTAGGCAAGTGGCTAAGAAAATGTTGTTTAAAACAAGGTCGAGAAGGCAGGAGAGCAACAAGCATTGCCAGAGATGAAGGTTTTTGGATCAAGTTCTTAGACTTTAGCTTCTTAACAGCTAAAAACGTTTTTACTCCTCCTTGTTGTTTTCGCTTTTATTTGCCTTTTAGCCGCTGGCAGGGCGTCCCTGGAAAAAAAAAACTAAAAAGAAAAAGACTGGAGGGGTGTAGTGTAGGATAGGGTGTTAGCCAAAGAGCCCCCAAAATTAAACAGAGAAGAAAAATTACAATATATATGTCTTTCTTAAACAGTGGAGGAGGATGGATGGTGAGGTGGAAAGGAAAATCCATGGGTGAAAAAATAATCAACTTTGATGAACAGATGTCAAGGTGTGGGCACAGATGGCAAGGATTAAACACCCTTTAACATACACCCAGACACACACACTCCTTCTTCCTCATTAAATGTAATTGACTTGGAAAATGTACGCCACACATATGGAAAATGTGTGCCTACTACAAGTTGGTTTTAAAGAGAGTCTTTTTCTTGGGAAAATCTGATTTAATATTCGGTTTGTAATTATAAAAATTCAAAATTTTGAAGATCAAAACATATAGTCATAGGAACTGAAAAAAAAACAGAAGGAAGCAATTTTCTATGGATAATGAAAATATACATCTAACGATTGTTCGACTTTATAGGGTTGGAAAATTTAATACACACACACATGCGAGTGTGTATTGTGTTGCACATTGGCTATAAGGAGAAGGAGACCAAAAACATAATGCGTTCTCAAGATGATGTGTAGCGTAGAGGGTGAGTGCGGACCATTTTGGGGGTGGATATGACTGCATATTCCACTATATATGTATATATTCTATATATATAATGTATACATATATATACAAAAAAAAATATATAAAGAAAAACGATATTAGGAAGGTGGTTGGCAGGCGATTGGAAATTAATGAAATTTTATACAAAAGTCCGAAACCAAATTGAAGTATGAATGAGCGGGAATGGATGTGTAAATGAACAGCCTCCTTTTCTACCACCCAATATATATACATATATCTTTATATATATGTATATATAGGTATATATGTGGGCCATTACAAAAAAGGAGCCCAGATGAAAGCGGAACTCCATTACCCTCGGAGCTGGAGAAATTGTTGCCGGGGCTAATGCGAAATTTGTATGCAGTCCAAACAACGGGAGTCATTTCTTTTGTTTTCTGCTCTCCTCTTCTTGTTGTTCTTGTTTTTTTTTTTCCAGCTTTTCCAGCTTTTTTTTTCAGTTTTTGAATTCTTGTATTGTTGTTGTTGTAGTAGGCCTTGCCTCGGATTTCATTTCTGTATGTTTCAGGCACTTGGCGTTCCGTTCAGAATGAGGAAAAACCAGAAAAAATAACAATCAAATGTAATGTTTCGAGATATAGAAGGAAAAAGAGGGGGGAAAAAGGAGGGATTTCAGGAAATTAGAAAAGCCCTTGTATTGCCATTGAGATTGACCATTGAACTCCCTAAAAGTTAATACTTTCAGTTAGTGAATTTCATTAACATTTTATTGACACAAAATGAGACAAAAAGAAAAAAAGAGCAATAATTAGCTGCAGGCGTGAGCACGTGAAAATAATACCAAAAAAGCCAGTTAAGAACAATTACAAAAGGGAGAAAAAAAAACCATGACTTTCCTTCAAGTATTTTACATTTTCTTTTCTGTTATAAAGTAGCAATTATTTGAAAATTTGTTGCCCTGGGGGCCAAGGCACTCAGCAGTCTAAGGGCTATATTAAATTCCTACCAAGAGTCTATTTGACCCTCAGATTTTGTGCTATTTTTTCTTTTTTTTTAGCCGCTTAATAAAAATCATTTTTTGTGTGGCACATATGTTAAATTTTGTTGCATGGTGGCAGGCAGGACTGGTGGCGAAACCGAAATATTTGAGTTTTATGGGAAGAAAATTTTAATACGCAGATGCGATACGCGCGCTTAAAAACCCCAACCAAAAACTCCTTCATATTTGCACATACCCTTCGGGTGATCTTTGCTTCTTCTTTCCTAAAACTGCCATTTTGTTTGGGACTAAGAAAGGTGGCAGAATCATATATATACATATCTCTCTATATATATATATGTTTAGAGGAGATGACATCCCGCGTCAGTGCAGCAGGTTGGACAGTTGAAGAATCTAAAAGATAAATCTCATTATTATGGCTTCCGTTTATTTTTGAACACAAAACGCATAAATACGAGAATGAGAGCAAAACACCATTCTACATTCTCCAGGCATCATCATCAGTTCTTCTCCTCCTCCCCATTGCCTGCCACATTCCACATCCACATCCTCTAAGTGCCCCATCGACTTCCACCGGTTTGGATACCCCATCTCCGGAGACAAGTTGCCAGATTCCGGTACGAAACCCAAGAACTTAACTCACTTAGAAAAAATGTGTGTCCGCTAAAAGCATTTTAAGCAGCTAACTTAAATATTAAGTTTATTATTATTATTTACTTTAGAGATCATAAACTAATAAAACAAATATTTGTAGGAGATTTTTATAGCCCCGCACATTTTGCATATACATAATTTAATCAGCTTTACCTGTTACCGTCTCCGCCGCCCCCTCCACTCAATAAATTTAGCATTTAGATAATTTTTAATAAACAAAAACCATTTGCGGTTACATTTTAGTTTTATTTGTAGAAATTTTAAGTGTATTAAAATTACTTTTTAAAAGTTTTAATAAAATAGGCTTGGCTTGTATTTGCTAATAAGCGATTAAATAATAATCAAGTAACCCTGACTTAGCTAAAAGCAAATAAGCAGTCTCCCATACGTTTTTCAATTTGCAAATTAAGCTTTTCCATAAACATTATTTAACAAATAAGCAACGAATCAAGTTAATAAATATTAAACGGAAAACATTAACTATGATTCTGCTATTAAAAAATTAACTTAAACTTATATTTTAAGTTGAAAACCCTTAAATTTCTTAAGTAAAATTTTCTCTAGCTACAATAATATAAAATTATCATATAAAACTTTAAATATTTTCTAGTTTTTCCTTTTGTTTTCTCAGCATTCCGAACTAGTGTGCATAGTTAAATCATTTTTGCTAGTAAAGCTGATTAAATTATGTATGGTTTTATGGCGCCGATTGGCAATATATACATATATGTTTAAATGTATTTTATTAGCCTAGGTAAATGCAAATCTTTCCTGCACAAAAATACCGCTGACCACAAACGGTAATACGGGGAAATCGTATCCCAAAACGGATTACCAACCATATCACAGCATGCGTTCGATGACCTTTTTTTTTTGCTGTGAGGGAGAGGGAGTGGCGGGTGGCATATATTTGAGGATTGGGTTACCGCAGAAAATGTGTCGCCAGGAAGAAACTGGCAAAAAAAAAACGAATCGGGTGCGCTGGCAAATTTCCATGAATTTAGGATTCTATCATCATTTTATCGGTACGGTGGTAAACGAAATTTCCTACAGCTTCTGGGTCACAGGATACGCGCGTTCCTATACACCCACTCACTCACTACTTACCCGCTTACTTGCTAGCTTCAAATCACGAAGACGACGTATTTGACATTCACATTTCCATTTACTATTTCCTGTCAATTTTTCTTAGGCACTGCTACTGCTATTCGGCATATCCTTCTTGCTTTCTCCAAAGAAAAAAAAAAAAGAAGAGAATATTGTGACAGTTTGCAATAAACGCAAAGGAAGGACTACTAGCACTACTACTACCTACCACCCCAGCACCTGCCCACTTACCAGTCATCAGCCCAGTCTCGTCGTTTTCTTCTTTATGACCATAAAAAGAAAGTAAATGCATCGAACTGGAGGAGCTGGGATAAATTTATACAGCACATTTCATGCGATCAACACATAAATATTATATTATATTTTATGCCAAAAGACCACGAAACTTGCCCTATATATATATATCTATATCTAATAATGTGGTAATGTATAGGGAATATATAAATACCGATGATCCTTTGGTCAAATCAAAACAGTTTATTTAAGGTGCAAACTGGCAGCTTTTGGTCATAAAAATTCTCGACAAAACGATTTTGTCAGCAGCACCTCGTCACTTTCCTTTGCCTTAGTCGTTGGTTTTCCTTCTTTTTATTTTTTTTTTAGTCACTTGCTTTGTGTCTAATAGTTATAACATTTTTGCTCAGCTTTTGATGCTTATCTTAAGTCGCCTTGGGCCATAATCAACGCTGACATGTTGTATCCACCAAGGGTGGTTGCGTTATAGAGGTAGCCAGAGGTAGTAGGTGTCGTTGGGGGTTGTGTGGCAGGCATGATGATGGCCGTGTGCCGAGTGGCGAGTGGCATATTGAAGGGCTTTCGGAATTGGGACCACACAAAGCTCCAAATGCGTATTGCATACATAAATTTGAGGCAAAGAGTTCGTTACTGCTCACACGTTTTGTTGCTGCTGCACAAAATAAATCTTTGACAGACAACAAAAAATGGGTGGCAGAATATATATATATATAAGATATATATATAAGATATATATATAAGATATATATATAAGATATATATATATAAAAGGGAGAAAGAGATTGAAGTACGAAAGCCGTGGCATGTGGTAAACAAAATCTGTACAGAATT